GCTGCACAGCCCCTGCAGGGACTGTCACCGTTTCTGTGGCTCTTTGACCCCGAGGGAAGGGCTGAGTCCTCTGGGACAGCACCCTGGCAGTGCCCACATCCCATGGCACAGCCTGGCCAGGGCACCAGGGTTCTGGGCTCCCCTGACTCGGCTGCTCCAGGTCAGCACCAGCGCTCCCAGTGCTCCAGCAAACCGGGATTGCTGGTCATGGGAGCCAAAGCAAAATATTTCCCGTCACGTCAGTGCTGGGCCGGGCCCGTGCGTGGGGTTAATTAATGAAAGAGGCTCAGGCAGAGCGTGGTAATTTGTGAAGCACCAGAACTCAGTTGCTGGCAGCCCTGTGCCCGCTCTGAGCCCCCCTGGCACAGGGCAGGGGATGAGCTGCAGCCGTTGGAATTCACTCCTTTGGCTGCAGAGGGGCAGCTTCTGGGGGCAGATAAGAGTGAGCCCCAGGTTATCACGCGAGGCAGCTCCACACACAGCCCCTGCAGCAAACAAGCACTGCCAGGAGGAGCCCAAATACCCACATTTTCCCTCCAACTCGGCCTGAGCTCTCGGCTCCCAGCCGGCCACGGGCAGCCCTGGGGGAGGCAGAGGGAGCTGCAGGAACTGGAGTGATCCTGCTCCTCCCTCCTGGCACAAAGACAACCAGGGCTGAGCCCGAAAAAATAAAGGAGCCTTTTCTGCTCTTCAGCTCACAATAGTTTGTTTCTGGATTCACTGTAATTGGGATGGAGAAAGGATCCTTTGCCCCAGGGAAGAGCCAGTGCCCCTGTGCACCCCAACACCGCCTGTCCCACAGGCAGGGCTTTGCAACACACCAAAACTGGGCTTTAATGCTAAAAACGATCTGTTTGGAAACTGCCTCTAGTGGGGAGAGGGTGGGAATTCGGCTCACTGAGCAACACACATTGAAGTTGTGAGGAGCTGGGGGCTCCTGCACGAGCCAGCCCAGATCCACCTCAGCCCACACAGAAAAAACCCCAACTGACCGACTGGAAATTCCTACATCATCTCATACTATCCAGAATTTTTCTTTCAACATCGCCGCAAATTTTTAAAGAACATTTTTAGAAAAAAATTAGAAATAAAAGTAGGGCGGTGGTTTTTTTGGGGGTGGGTGGGTTTAAATAGCCTTTCACACAGTAAATGCAGTGTTGGATGCTGCAGTGCCGGGCTGGCAGCTCCGGGGGGCTCAGAGGTTCCCCTGAGCTCCCTCCCCGGCCCAGTCGTGTCCTTGGTGGCAGCCGGGTGAGCTCCCGATCCCGACCCCGCCCCGGCAGCCGAACCAGGACGCCTTTATTGCCCATGTAAATCAGGGAAGCTCCGCCGGCTTCCAGGAGCTCTGCAGATTTATGCCAGGAGCTGACCCGGCATCTCTATTTTCAAATCTAGGGCAGATTGAAATATGCTGGTTTTCAATAATATATTCAGGTTAACAGGGCTTTTATATTTGAGCAATTAATCTTGCATGGTCCGAGGAGCTCTGGGGAACGCGTGTGGAGGTTGCTAAGAAGAGCAAACAAACAGGGTTGTGTAACCAGCTCTGCCAGGGCCCCCTCGGAGCCCCCGAGCCCGGCAGGGATGGGGCTGCAGAGACCCCAGCCTGGCGTGGGGATGGGTCTGCCATGAGGCAGCATTACCTCATCCTGCATTACTGTGAAATGATTCAAAGCAGAAATATGGAGACATAAATCCCAGGAAAGCCAGCACTGTGCTGGAGGAAGCCTCCCTGGAGTGTTCTGGGTCTGCTCCCTCCTCCAGCACGTGCCCAGGATGAGGGAGCCTGGGGGCACAACACACTCACCTTGGGGTGTCTGTGTTTGGGCCAGAGGCAAATCCACACTGGGTCCAGCACTGATGGTGCCTCCAAAGTCTCTTCCCAGACCTGATCCTGGCCTTTCTGCCTCCCTCTCTCTGTCTCCTGCCGACCTGCTTGGCATCTTCAGCTTCACCAGCACCCAACAAACACCAGTAGAGATGCTCTTTGTGGGCCCAGACCAGCCAGGAACCACCTCCTCGTGCTCAGGAGACAGACACCTCCCAGGGAATGGGAGCCTGGTGGGAGCCACCTGGGGCAAACCTCTTACATTTCATCCCATTTTCCCATGTACCTCCTGTATTCACATGAAGAAATGAGGAAGGAATTCTTCCCTGGGAGGGTTGGCAGACCCTGGCACAGGTCACCCAGAGCAGCTGTGGCTGCCCCATCCCTGGGAGTGTCCAAGGCCAGGCTGGACGGGGCTTGGAGCAACCTGGGCTGGTGGAAGGTGTCCCTGCCCGTGGCAGGGGGTGGCACTGGGTGCTCATTAACATCTCTTCCAACCCAAACCATTCCATGATTCCATGGCTCACTGATCCCTTTCTTTGCTCTAAAGCTCCAGTTAGACCAATACACGACTTTTAGTCTTGAAATTGCCTCTGCTGTTTTTTCCCTCTTCCCATTTGCCATTCCCCCATCACGCAGCAGCATTCCCAGTGTCCCAGATTTACCAGATCCTTGTGATTTGACCCTCAGTTTCTCGTTCTTCCAGCACATTAGACTCTAAACCAGCCTGGGCACACAACTGCTGTCTGCCAAGCCAACCAGCAATCATGGGTTTGGGCTCATGCCCAGGGGAAGAAATATTACCAGCTAAAAACTGTGGAATTTTGGGGTTTTGATGGAGTTGCCAGAGGGGGGGCAGCCTGTGCTGAGCTCTGCAGCAGAGCAGTGCCTGACTCAGTGGAAACCATTCCGGCACTTACAGTCCCTGCATCATTCCATGACACACATTTCCAATCACAAATAGCAACAGACTCTGGAAGAATATGCAGGTGGCTGTGGCGTGATTAATGAGTGCTGCATCTGTCACTGGAGTGGTAATTACCCTGCACAAACCCAGCCCTGCAATGGCAGGGCAGGATTTATTCCAGCTGAAAATCTGGCTCTTTACGCCGTTTTTTTCCTTTCTTTTTCCTCCCACAAAAACCAATTTCCTTGTGAGCCCAATAAAAAAGAAGCTTTCCCTGGCTCATGTTATACCAGCAACATCCCACCCCGTGAGGAGCCAGCCCTGCTGCCTCTGGCCATGAAATCCAGGTAATGACCCAGAACTGCACTGAATTAGTGTTTCATTTCCCAGCCCTTGCCGACAGCTCCCTAATGGAAATTGATTTCTAGCTTTTTTCTTTTCCATTTAACATGCTTGTGTAACATCTTTATTTTACATTCCAGGGAATTTTAGCCAAAGGGCCAGTGCACAGGTGGCCCCTGAAAGCACCTGGTGAATCACTGCTGTGTTAACCAAGGTCGGGGGGCCAGGAGGGCTGGGACACCCCAGGAATGTGGCAGGACCCCTGCACAGGGGCACCCCACACGTGCAACCCTGCCCTGTGCCCACCCCCCTCTCTGGGATGGGTCCTCAGGGGGGTAAATCAGCAGGTGTGAATCCAGGGAACAGGCCCAGCATTCCCAGTGCCACGGCCCCGATCCCTCCTGCGCTCCTACAACCAGCACGTCCCTCTGCACCTCACACACCACAGGTTGTACTCTCACACCCCCAGACAGATCAGAGCTGCCCCACCATCCCCTGCAGCCCCCCCTCCCCCCCCCGACTGGCAGGTCCCCAAAGCAAGCCAAGAGCCTGGGATGTCCCATCCCTGTGGGGTCAGACCCAGCCCCAGCCCTGCCCTTGCTCGGTCGCCCCAAATCCGCGGGAATTCTGCCCAGTCTGGGCTCCCCGGTGTAATCTGACCCAGCCCCAGCACACACACACACACACACACACCCTGTTTTCTGTATTTGGGTGAAACTCAGCTGCCAGCTCCTCCACTTGGGGCAGCCCAGCAGCGGGGACGAGGCTGGTCCTGGATGTCCAAGCCCTTCCCTGGCCAGGCGGAGCCAGGCAGTGACACACGGGGAGGCTCGAGCAGCTCCTGCACCTTCAGGTACAACAGCTGGGAGGGGAAATAAGATTTTATAACAGTGCTGGGCCATTTTCAACCCTCCTTTACCTCCAGAGCCTGGAAGGTTTGGGTGGATGCTACAAAGGACTTGGGAAAAATCCACTTTTCTCATTTTCCTTTTCTGTAGCGTGTGGAGGAACCAGAACCCAGTGGTGCTGGTTCACACTTTAAAGCAGAACTAAATTATAATTTTTCTCAGTTTTCAGTTATTTCCTAGTTCTGTAGGTACTTTTATAACCCTATAAATTGTCTGGTAAAGGAATTGTTGGTTAGAGATGGTGTCTGGGGTGTCTGTTCCTTAGCGAGGGGTGAATTGGCTCGTACTGTTCCTAAACATGTTGTAGCGTGATGACAATAATAACAATTAGCTCAGGGTACAGCAGAGTGCTAATTGTGAGCTGAAATCCCAAACAGAGCTGTCTGTGCAGGTCAGTCCTCTCCTCTGCAGTGCCCAGGGATCCAGGACATCTCCCTGGCTGAGGGAATTCTCTGTGCCTGCTCCTCTCCTCTTGCATTGCTAAACCCCAAACCTTCCCAGGTGCATTTTGTACTTGTGCTGACAGCACAAACCTGCTGTGCTCCTATGTGTTATCCCTGATGAATGCTAATTTGGGTTTAGTTCCTTAATGGATCCAGAGGGAAGGTGAATATTGAGAGCAAAGGAAGGAGAACTGAAGAGTGGCAGGTTCAGAGCTCTGCAGAGATCAAAGGCAGGGGAAGGTACGGGACAGAGAAGGAATGCTGGATGTATCCCTGTGTTATCCTGTCTTGTGAAGCAACATTGTGTAATTATTAAAGCAAATTTCCCTTCCTTTTATCCAAGAGGAAACCTGTGAGCAAATTAAGAAACTACCCCTGTGCCTCAACTCACTTGCAGGAGGCAGTAGCAGAGCTGGACACAACATTTAATACTTTCCCTCTGCCCTAGGGACTGAAGTGGAATATGGACAATTATAGGATAAAAGTAGGGAAAAATGGCATTTAAAAGTGATACTCTATTTTTGTTTTTAACTTACAGCAGGCAAAAGGTGACTTGGAGCCACTGAGGAAGGATGTGGGCTTACACTGTCGGGTTCACTGTCCTGCCTCACGTCGGGGGTTTCCTTGGCTGGTTCCTGAATCGAAAGGAAATTCCTGCCTGGTACGAGAAGCTGAAAAAACCTTCCTGGTGTCCATCCCGCAAGATGTTCCCTGTTGCCTGGACCATCCTGTACACGGGCATGGGGTAAGTTCTGTGGCTGCTGCCCCTGTCCTGCCCCTGGCACACCCAGGGCAGCCCCCCAGCCCCTGCCGTGGCTCCCGGGGGGTGCCCTGTCCCTGAGCCAGCAGGGCAGGGCAGGTGTGCCCGTCCCCCCTCAGGTACAGCCTGAGCCAGCCCCCGGGAGTGCCTCAGCCTGGCACTGCAGCAGTGCCTCTGGCAGGGACACAGCCCTGCCCCGGCTGGGAGAGGTGCCCAAACCAGCCCTGGGGAGGGGCAGGAGCCACACAGGTGTGAGAGGGCAAGGGACACAGGATAATAGAACCATGGAATATCCTGAGCTGGAAGGGACCCATGAGGATCATCCAGTCCAAGTCCTGACCCTGTCCAGGACACCCCAACAATCCCCCCCTGTCCCTCAGAGCACTGTCCAAACCCTCCTGGAGCTCTGGCAGCCTTGGGGCTGTGCCCACTGCCCTGGGGAGCCTGGGCAGTGCCCAACCACCCTCTGGGGGAAGAACCTTTTCCTGAGATCCGACCCAGCTCTCCCTGGCACAGCTCCAGCCGTTCCCTGGGTGCTGTCCCTGCTCACCCAGAGCAGAGCTCAGGGCCTCATGTGGATGCTGCTGCCGTGCAGACACGACTGTCCTGTCAATCCCTGCTGGGAAACACTCCTACAGAGAGACTTTGTCTCCCTTGGGGATTCACTCACTGCCAACACTAACCCGTGTCCCTCTCCACAGCTACGCCTCCTACTTGGTGTGGAGTGACCTGGGCGGCTGCAGCAGCAAAGCCATCGTCCCGCTGGGGCTCTACGGGGCTCAGCTGGCCCTCAACTGGGCCTGGCCCCCCTTCTTCTTCGGTGCCCAGAACCTGAACATGGTAATGGCCCCAGCCCCCATCACCTGCCAGGGCTTCTCTGCTGGGCTCCTGCCCCCCGGGTTTGGGCTGGCTGGGGTTCTCTGACTGACACAGAGCTGCCAGAAGGGCCTTTGCTCAGACACAGCTCCCGCTGCTCCTGCCCCCAGACAATGGTATCAGTGCCCCCAGCCTGGCCCTGCTCCTGCCCCCAGACAATGGTATCAGTGCCCCCAGCCTGGCCCTGCTCCTGCCCTGCGATACCGGGGTGGGCAGAGCCGGGGCTGCACCTCCCAGTTAAGGGTCCAGGGGGAGAGATAAGTCCTTTGGGGGGTCACACCCTGTGCCACAACACCATCCTTGGGGGAGCAGCTGTGAGGGGCTTATCAAGCACACACAATGTGCAGTGCAGAGCACGGGGCTGAGGCACTGCTGGCACAGCCACACCCGCCCTGGGCCACAAGGCACTGCCTCGGCTGCCAAGGCCTGGAGGGGATGGAAACACACACAGGGATTTATGTTTCCACCTGATTTTGTCACTCTGGGGGTAAAAGGTACAGTTAGAAAGTTTGTTTGGTGACCATGGCCATGGTATCCCCATGAGCATGTTCTGTGTTATCAGCACAAGGGGACACTGATCACCAGAAACTGGGGGCTAATCTGTGGAATTTGATAATGAGCAAAGAAATGAACATTAATTAGTCTTGGCTCCTGGTGTGACACGTTCAGGTCTCACTGATCAGAGCTCAGGACCAAGCTCCCGGGCTTTAGGAACACTCCAAGTGACTGCTCAGTGCCGAAGGTCCCCCACTGCTGTTCCCCCTCTCCACCTGTCCCAGGGAGGTTTGTCCTCGTGCCCTGACTCACTGTGCTCTCTCTGCTGCAGGCCCTGATCGACATCCTGTGCCTGGACGGGCTGGCCATTGGCACCCTGTGCTCCTGGTACCGCATCAACAGGGTGGCAGCGCTGCTGCTGGTGCCCTACCTGGGCTGGCTGGCCATGGCCACCTGCCTCACCATCCGCATCTGGAGGGACAACCCCGAGCAGAAGGCAGGGAAGAGGGAATAAATGAAGGCATTTTGTGTAGCTAAACTGTGCTGATGTGAACCAAGATCTAACCATCTGGGGGGTCCACTTTGGGAGTGTCCTGCTCCTCCTCCCATCGTGGCCCTGTAAAAGGTTTGCATGAGGCACCCACGGGCTCCTTTAAAGTAACTGGGCATCCTTAACCAGGGAGCTGTTTTCTCCAGCACTGCTGAGGTTTGGGGGCTACAGCTGTACCCTGCCCTTAATGCCATCAGGTCCAATTCCACCAGCCAAACTGGGATCTCACAATCCATTTGAATTCAGGGCAGCAACACCAGAGACCCCTCGACACTGCCCCATCCCCCCAGAGCTAAATTGCATCTCCTCTCCTGGGACCAAACAAAAATGCCCTTCACTGGTGCACACCCATTTTTAAACACTTGATTTTTTTGCTATTTGTGCTGTTGCTTCATGTTCATGTATCACCTGGTTTGGGCTTTATACCTTTAACTTCTTATCTGACAGCTGCCAAGAGAGCAGGGATCTGTCTTGTTCTGCTGGTGCAAGGAGACTGGGCTCTGACTTCTATTGGGGAGTATCACACTCCTTCAGCTCATGCTCCAAGATAAAGCAGCAATGATTAGAATGCAAATGCTTCTCCCCAGAGGAAATTTCTCTCTTCCACCTCTGTGTGCCATTCCTCATCAGAGAATAGAAAAACTAACATCAGTGCCTTTGAAAAAATACTTATTTTTTTTTAAGTAGAGAGATACAAGAGTCTGTAAAATTCAGGAACTTGCTCCCACTGCCTCGATGGTTGTAGCTACATAACAGGCAAAGAGTCTGTCAGGTGCAGTGCAAGTGCCTCATCCTGCAATCTTTCCATTCCTCAATATTATTTATCAGGGAAGATTAAAGTACAAGGATTTCCTGAGCAATGGGACCAAGCCATGACAGATCAGACACAAGGGGTGCATGGACTTGCCTCTGTCCATCCCTTATCCTGGCCCTTGACAGACCCAAACCTGAGCTCTCACTATCTCCAAGAGTATTTACTATTATTTTGGATTGCTAAGAGCACCACTGTGTAGAGAAGGGGCACGAGGATCTTCCTGGCAGCTGGCTGGAGATTGGGGTGTGTGGGGGGACCTGCAGGGTGGGGGTGGAGGGGCTTAGCTGGGGCTGTAACATAAATTGTATTTGCTTTTAATAAAACCAAGCCACTACTTTTTGGAGAATAAATGAATCCAGTTTGTTATTTTGATCCCATTCCTTAGTTTTCCCTCCTGGCTCAGGACTCCTTTGCCCAGGGCTGCTGCAAGCACAGGGCTGTGATGCCCCCAGTCAGAGCTGCATGAGAACAGGCCGTGGCACAACCGAGGTTGGGAGCAGGGGCAGGACCCCAAAGCACAGGCACTGCCAGGAGGACCGGGGAGATCAAAAGCTACTGAAAAAAAAAGGAAAGGAAAAAGAAGCCCTCTATATTTCAGGGCTTTCTCTGCCCGTCCGTTTCCACTGCGTTTATCTCCAGCAGCTGTGTCTTGCAGGGAGTCCCCGCCAAGGGACGGGCACACAGGGATGATTTGTGCCCCAGGGGAGCTGGGGTCTGGCTGCAGTTCCATTCCGGGGAGTTCGGGCTGATTTAAGGGCGCTCTGCCCGTCCCTTCCCGGGGAGCGCAGCACAGCCAGAGAAAAGGGATGAGCAGGGCCCTCTAGTGAGGCCGGGAGGGATTAAACGAGCCTCTATCTGCTTTTGGAAAGGGAAGAGAATTATTTAAATCACGTTTAAATTGGTGACTCTAGATCTGGTTCAGACCTGCAACATTTTAATAACATTTTCACTTAAATAGATGGGCTCATATTTGATCAGCTTTCATAAATTAATCCTATTTCTCCTTCTTCCCACGTTTTTACTGCAGGTAACGGAAAACTGGAATTAAGATTAATGGATTTTTTTCCATGTCTCCCCTCCCCATTTTCCCAGCTGCTGGGACTGGCTGACTGGTTCTTGTTTTCATTCCAGTTCCTCCTCCTCCCCCCATCCCACCTCTAAGTGCAGCAGGAGCCTCTCTTTGCCTCTCTTTACCTCTTGCCTTTTCTTGCAGGCAGCAAAAATAGCAAATGCTCCTCCATGTGATATCCAGAAGAGCTTGAAATCAATTGGCAAAATTAAATTCAGTGAAACACCCTCTTGTATTAATATTTAAAGCATTGTTTGGTGTATTTGCTGTTTAAACAGATATGCTAAACCCCTTTGCATAAAAACAACTTTAATGACGCTTCAAAGTCAGCTGGAGAATTTCTTAGGCAGACTGTGCAGTGCAGACCCAAAGCAGCCCCTGCCTTGGGGGGCCTCGAGGGGCCCTGGTGTCACAGGATCATGGGATCATGGAATGGTTGGGGCTGGAAGGGACCTCAGAGACCATCCAGTCCCACCCCCTGCCATGGGCAGGGACACTTCTGCTAGACCAGGGTGCTCCAAGCCCTGTCCAAGTCTGTGTTTGTCCAGCCCCCCCAGATTAGTTCATGGAATGGACACGACATTCCCACAGGAACGTGTCGTGGTGTCCGTGACTCCCCAGTGGGTCAGACAAAGGCCACAAAGGCCAGAGGCCAAAGGCCAAAGGCCAGCTGTCCTGGGGTCATGGCACTTGGAGCCAAGAGCCACCTCGCAGGTCACCCCGTCTGTGCTGACCCTCCCTTCAAACCTCAGCCACTCTTCCCAGAGAGACAATTTGCTGTTAAACTGCTGCTTACACTCGATGTCAGCGAGCACCTCCCTGGCTGCTGCATCCACAAGCCTGTGCATAAACAACACCTTTCTGCCTTTCAGCCCAGCCTCATTTCCCAAGCCCTGTCTCATTCAATAACTCACCAGCTGTTCCAGAAAACACTCTGGCTGCAGCAGGACGGGACTTTAATTGATTTGCTGATGTCTGGAGCCGTGTTCAAACATGAAGTCGATGCCAGGGAGGGTTTGCTGCCGTGTGCAGGTGAGGCAATTGCCCTCCCCTGGCCCTCCCCTGGCCCTCCCTCCACGGGTGCTGCAGGACATAAATTCCTGTGCTCTGACCTTCCCCCCGAGCTGCTCCAGGAGCCCTGCAGCAGGAGCCCAGCAGGGAGGAGGCTGTGCTGCTGGAAGCTGTCATTAAGTCCCAGTTGGGCTCTGAATTAATTGGGGAGGCAGCAGAGCCTGCCAAGGCTCCTCGTGTCACAGGGGGGTGTGAGGGCTGGGGGTGGAGAGCCAGGGTTTGGCTGAGAAGATCAGGCAGGTACAGAGCTGAGAGCATCACTTGTCCCTGCCCCAGGGCTCCCCTCAGCCCAGGTGTAGCACCTTTCACCAGCACTTGGGTCAAACCTGTGGGACACGAGTGTTTCCAGCCCCTTCCTTTAAACCTTGGCTTTGTGGTCCCGCAGCGGGAGGAGAGGGACAGGTGAGAGCCCCCAGGGGCTTCCTTCCAGGAAGGAAGGAAGGAAGGAAGGAAGGGAGGAGGGAAAGCTGCCCCTGCACATCAGCTCAGTGTTTATTTATTTATCACGTAGCAGTAGTTACAGCTGGAAAAAGCAGGAGGGGGATTGCTGCCAGACAATGTCTCCAGGAGACGTTTTGTTAGTGCCACCAGCTGTCCCCTCGGAATAGAGAGCAGGGCTGAGCCATGACTCACACCCCCAGGCTCTGATTTCACTCTCCCACCTATCCAAAAATGTTCCACCAGCCCGAGAACGCCATAAAAGCCACCTTTTCCTGGCAAAGCCTTTGCCAAGCAGGTGTGTGTGCTCAGGACAGGGAACAGGCAGGATAACTTCGGGAACTCCTGCTGTGGGGGGGGCTCAGCTGGAGAAAAGGAGGCTCAGAGGGGACCTTCTCACTCTCTGCAACTCCCTGACAGGAGGGGGGAGCTGGGGGGGGGGATCGGACTCTGCTCCCAGGGAACAAGAGACAGGAGGAGAGGAAATGATTTCAAGATGTGCCAGGGGAGGGTCAGGTTGGACATCAGAAGGAATTTCTCCATGGAAAGGGTGGTCAGGCCTTGGAAGGGGCTGCCCAGGGAGGTGGTGGAGTCCCCACCCCTGGAAGTGTCCAAGGAAGGAATGGATGTAGCGCTCAGTGCTCTGGGCTGGGGGACAAGGTGGGGTTGGACTCAGTCCTGGAGGGATTTTCCATCCTCAATGATTCTGGAATTCTATGAACAAATTCAGAGCCAGTGAAATAAAATATCAAATCACTGGGGAGTGGGGCAGGTGGAGGGAAACCTTGATAAAAATGCTGCTGGCAAGTGCCTGATTTGGGGTAACCTGAGTCTCCCCGAGGCCCTTCCCTGAGCCCCGGCCCCTCTCGGCACTCGGTGCCCTCGGCCTGGCTCACAACAAGCTGATGGAAAAAACCTTCCCTGGCTGCCTCAGGCACTAATCCCAGGCTCACACAGCCCTGGACACACATGCACACGTCGGGGGAGCTGGGGTCACTTCAAAACCCCCAGCAGAAGTGCCCAAAGCCCTCACCCAGCCCAGGGCTGCACCGGGGGATTGACAGCAGCTCCAGGGTGCCCGGTTATAATTTTGGCACAGGCAGACACTGCAGGGGGGGGATCATGGCTATTCCATGCACTGCCCTACAAGGAGCTGGGAAGCAGCTGGGGAAAGGCTGGAGAGAGGGAGAGTCTCGGTGCCACATTCCCCAGATTAGATTAGAGCTCAGCCCGGGACCCTGCGGAGGGGCCAGGCTGGTGAAAGCTAAAGGCTGCAGGAAAGGTGGGACCCCAGCCACCAAGAGCTTCCAAAAATAAAGCAAAGTGGGTCAGAGGGACTGAAGAGGGGCTGGAATGCTGCTTTAGAGCATAAGGGTTAGAAGGAAACAAGCTGTCACTCGCTGAGAGAGGATTCCCCTCCCCAAAGGCACCGCCTGAAATGTCAGAGGTGACAGGAACGGGACGGGGGAGCTGCAATCGGAGCGTGGTTACCACGCAGGAGGCAAAGACTTCACCTGCCCTCCAGGAAAGTATTTTAAGCTTGAAAATAAATAAAACTCTGCACCATGAAAGATATATGTTCCATGAATAGGATGTCTTGGAACTTGTCAAATCCCTGGAACTTGTCAAATCGAGCTGTTGTCACAGAACTCCCTGTGCTCTGTCAGTCACCACATAAACAACCCTCATCACCAGCAAACAGAGGGAAAAGTTATCCCAAAAACTGCAGTAATGATGTCATTGAGGAAAAGCTCCAAAGGATATTCAGCACAGAAAGGCAGGCTGATAGCAAGGGGGCTGGAGGAGGTAGCAGAACTATTATAATAATTTATTACATATTGTAAATTATCTATTATAATGTATTATTAATTTCCTATGATAATAAATGATCTGCCCAATTGCATAAATTTATTCCACTTTGTGATAGTGCAGGCTCCTCCAAAGCCTCTAAAAAGCTGACTATAACAGGATCACAAAGGCTGACTTTGGCCCCAAGGCAGGTATTCCCACCTATTTGATCTCTGTGGAATACAGTTTATCCTCCCCAACACTAAGAGTGGTATTTTCACTAAGTACTGACTGAATACTCAATCAAACACAGCTGCATATTTCATATGGATCCAAATCTTGATGGTGGTGGGTTCTGAGCTAAGTGCAGAGCCCACAGTACTGAAGATTTGATTTCCAATGTGCTTTGGTTCCCACATGACTCCTGCACAGCCACAGACTTCCCACTCCTTTGCCCAGTGGCATCCTAGGATCAGTCTCTGGGAAAAACCTCACCCAGGTTTTCCTCAAGCTTGGCTCATGTGGGATTAGTACTATGTTTAAATGATTAAAATTTAGAGTGAGAAATTGGAAGAATTTCTTATAATGCCCAAGGAAAATAAAAAAGAGAGAGAACCTCCCCTAGCCCAGAGATATCCCAGGACACTGGGAACTGATGGGACACTCAGGCAACGGGGAGGAAAAGTACAGAGCAAGGGGCAGAACCAGCACTGCTGCCCACTGTGAATTCCAGTTGGACTTTCTGATATTTGGGAAAAGATTCTGGCTTGCATTTCCAGCAGTAGGATCTGACAGCAGCTCCAACAATGGGATTTCACCCTGTCCAGCTCCCGTGTTCAGTGCCCTGTGCAGGGTGGGAGGAACCACAGGTCTCCTGCTCCTCTGGGCACTGCTGCTGGGATGCTCCATGAGGCCAAATCCACCAAAACCAGGCATTTTTCAGCAAACCAAATGGCTCAGCCTCGTGCCTGAGCCAAACCAGTGGTCCTTCAAGGTCAGCAAGAGGATCAGCTGGCAGAGGAAGGAGATGGAGAAGCTCCAGCTCTCCCTGTGCCAGGTGTCTGTCACAGGAACGGATAAATACACACTTGTGCTTCCAGGATTTCCACCCATTGCTTATCCCACCCACAGCGAAGTTGTCACTTAATTTGAAATTAAAAGGGGAGCAGGAGGGATTGTTGAAAGGAGCTGGAGAAAGCAAGGGAAGGAGGTGACACCCGAGAGCCCTGGGTCACCCTACCCCAACCAGCCTCTGTCGCTGCTGCTTTGTTCCATATTTAGTTCCTGACAACTGTGCCTGGGGCAGGAACCCCCAGCTCTGTTTTCCCTCCTCTCTGCGCTCCCAGAGCTCTCAGAAATTGCTCTTTCTCTCTCCCAGTGGCCACAAGTCAACCCCACTGTGGTGCAGAAGATGGCAGAGAAGCAGGAGGAGCCCAGCAATGCCCAGAACGGGGAACCTGACAATGCAGAGGAGGGCGAGGGCAAGAAGAAGAAGGTGAAGAGGGAGGACCTGCCACCGTTTGAAATCGTGACAGGGTAAGAGATTTGGATTTAAACACGGGGCTGGGAGTGAAGGGGGGATGTTCAAAGGGCTCTGCCTCAGCTCTTATGGTGGGCAATTAAAGCAGCATCTTCTGCCAGTGCATTTCTGAATACGGTTAAAATTTATTTGGGGTTTTGTTAGAAGTTTTGCAGAGCTGTGAAAGGTGGATTCACACCAGGCAGGCACACAAATCCACTGGTTTTATATCAGTGGGGCTGTTTCTGCAGCGCTGGTTCCCTCCCAGGGCAGGCAGTCCTGGCATTGCTGGCTGAGGGTACCAGGATGGAGGGATTTGCCTTGGTGGGAGCTGAATATTGATTTCTAGCTGTGATCAATGGCTCTTGTCGGAGAGTTTCTCTACCTGTGGATTAGGAAAAACAGCCCTGCTATGGCTGATTTGCTTGATAGGCCTGAGGGACAGATATTTCAAGAGACCTGAAGGTTCAGAGTTTCAAGGGCTCCACAGCCACAGCTGGAACCCGACTTTCATAGAAAGCCCAGCTTGCAGAAAGGTTCCAAAACAAGAGAGTTTTCAAGGTAGTGGAGCAGCAGCGAGCCTGGCCCTTGGGAAAGGCAGATACCACTGAGACCTGGTGGAAGCTGAACCCTCAGCCATAACTGACAGCTGCAAGTAGGAAAAACCCTCAGGATCTGCTCTCTCCAAGTTTCCAAATGCTCACTGCAGCAGTAGCAAGATGCCCCTCGTCATTCTCCCCTTATCACTCACCAAGGCAGGGCCCAGCAAACAAACCAAAGCCACGATTTCTTCCAGCTGCTGGAACATAAGGCTCAGGCCAGGCTCTAAAATCCCCCCTGGGATCCTCCTGCCTGTGCCATGGGCACTGGTAAGGAAGTTTCTGCAGATAGAATTTGGGTGGTGTTCTGACAAGGACGAGTGAGACAGGACAGCACCTCTGGCTGTCACAAAATTGGGTTACATTCCTATACAGGGGTGAAAAAACCCTCCATTTTCTTCTCAAAATGTGTCTGCTCTGAAAAGATCCTTTCTTGGGGTGATCTCTGTCACACACAATCATAGAAATAACAATGCCAAGCAGTGGCTTTTAAGAAAAGCACGTCCCTCTGCTAGGAATGGAGCTAAGGCACCAAACATTGTGGATATAAGCCATTGGACCAACTTTTGAACACTTAAAACATGTACTAAAATGACTGTCAATGAGGACATTGGATTTTTCAGCCTTAGCACCCAATTTACAATTAGAAATGCTGAGGAACTGAGCAGCATCTTCAAACTTCCTTGCTAACCCCAAGGATCTGTGCTAATCATGGCTGAAAAATACTTTCTCAGCATCATCTTGCAATTAAATTATTTGTTGAAATGCCTCGAGTGTTAGAGGATTTGACAGGATTTTCTACCCTGGAAAGGTGAGAGTGGGGAAGTGAAGCAGAAATCCCTGAAAGAGGTACAGAAACCCCAGGGATTTTTACTTTCATTTTAGGGACACTGAGAGTTCAGGACAGGCCTTGACCTGTGATCTCGGTGGGGATTTTTCTCATGATGTACAAATTTTCAGCCAATCAAGCCAGTTGTGTGCATGATGAGGAAACACCCAACTGCAGCCATGGAAGCATTTAAACCCAATTACGTGTCATGTCAGCTTTAGCCCTGGGATTAGGGGCATCTCATGACTCACGGCCAAGTTCTCAGGCTGCTGCTCCCAGCTCGGAGGAGCCCAGCTTACAGGAAAGCATTGGGAAGCCAATTACTCAGTTTAAGAATATTAACCCCTTTTTTTTGGTCGGTATTCGGCTGAACACAGACCTGGGTGACTGTAATCCCAACCTGTGAGCATTTCCTCATATCTGACACACTGTTCACACTTTCCCCAGGTGTAAATGAGGCTCCTCACAGCAGAGATAAGTGACCCCTTGGCTTCTGTTAGTCATTTACAGCTAATAATTGAGATAATCCCCATTTCAATCCCCTCATTAGAAGTTCTTCCCCTCTCCTGCCCAACACACAGTGCCAGGGTCACGCTGGGCAGCTGCTCTTTCCCTCAGCCCACCTGATTTCAGCACCTTAAATCACATTATTTGGCCAGGCCAGTGAGATTCCCACAGACTCTCAGACTCTCAGTTCTGCCTCAAAGTTTCAATCTTTTTTGCCTCAATATGATCTAACAGGTGACAAAAGACTGCTAATCAGGGAAAACTTTGACAAATTAGGTTTGAGCATTTAGAAATCCCTGAAAATCACCATTTAATGATGCTTTTCAGAGCAGTTGGAGAATGAAGGTTTCAACTTTTACCTTCCCACCCCCTCAGGTGAGTTGTGTCGCAGCAGGTGATTTATATTGAGAGTATTGTGGGAGTTCAGTGCCCGCAAATAATTTTTAAAAGAACTTTCCAAAGACATTTTTGCTCTCTACAACTCCCTGACAGGAGGCTGGAGCTGGGGGCAGGGGGTCGGGCTCTGCGCCCAGGGAACAAGGGACAGGATGAGAGGAAACAGCCTCCAGCTGTGCCAGGGGAAGTTCAGGTTGGACATCAGGAGGAATTTCTTCAGGGAAAGGGTTGTCAGGCATTGGAAGGGGCTGCCTTAGTGTTGTTTATATTCTCTATTGGAAAGTTATTTATTGGAGTGATGTATATTCCATGCTGCTGGGAGCACAGACTGAGGTGAACATCCCAGATAATCTCAGACACACGCCGAGATAAGCAATAAAATCCATCTGGAAGGGCTGACTAAATCCATCTCCAAGACAATCCATCCCAGAGTAGTCGCTGCTGCTTCAACTGCTCGTGAAAACCCAGCTCCACCCCCTCGCTGCTGTAACCCCTTTGCTGTCAGAGAGTTAAATCAGGCAGGGAGCTCCAGGTGACCTGATGTATTTAAATACATGATGTTATTGTAACACAACTTATTGTGGCCTTACAGTTTGCTCTGGAACAAGGCAATGGGTGGCTTCTGTCAGTCACCATAGCTGGCCTTCAATCACCAATTAAAGAATTGTCAACCAAATACCCACTCATTATCCGGGATAGAGAGCAGGAAACACACCTTTTCATAGCAAGGTTGGATTTGAGCTTGGATGTTTTAGTAAACAAGAGTCACAACGCAGACAAATACAGGGAGATGCAGCAGCTTGTCCACGGTGTCCCCCAGGAACTGACCCAGTGCCCCAACCCCGACCTAAACCTGCCCCTGAGACGCTTCTCTGCTCTGCCCTCTCCCCAGGGAACGCCTCCCAGCCATATTCTTCAAATTCCAGTTCAGGAACGTGGAATACAGCTCGGGCAGGAACAAAACCTTCCTGTGCTACGTGGTGGAGACGCAGGGCAAGGAGTCGGCGCCGTGCCGGGGGTACCTGGAGGACGAGCACGCGGCCGCCCACGCCGAGATGGCCTTTCTGGACACGATCCTGCCGCGCTGCGAGGCGGGCGGGCGCTGCTCCGTCACCTGGTACGTGTCGTCCAGCCCCTGCGTGAGCTGCGCCCAGCGCATCGCCGACACCCTGCGCAGGAACAAGGCCCTGCGCCTCACCATCATGGTGGGCCGGCTCTTCATGTGGGACGAGCCCGAGGTGCAGGCCGCGCTCCGCAGCATGAAGGAGGCCGGCTGCAAGCTGAGGATCATGAAGCCTCAAGACTTTGAGTATGTCTGGCAGAACTTTGTGGAGCAGGAGGAAGGGGAGGAGGTGAAGTCGTTCGTGCCGTGGGAGGACATTCAGGAGAACTTCCAGTACTACGAGGAAAAGCTGGCTGAGATCCTGCACTGAGCTCACGTGAGTGAGGATTCCCACGTGGTCGCTCACCCCCCGGGTTAAACTAACTCTCCTCTCTTATTAAGCCATAACCCAGAGCCAATTTCAGTCACGGCCACTCAGATGGACCTGGCTGGGTTCACCTCTACCTGAACACTGAGAATAACCTCAGGCAGTAACTTTCCCCTTCCAGGGCAGGAGCATGGCAGGAGTTCCCCCCAGCAGATTCCTAAGGGATTTAGAGCTTTTCTTTTTTCTCCTCTGAGCAAACACCTCCAGGAATAAAGAATTAAAAGGTATTTGAGTCACGAGGTGCCACCAGAACACCTGGTTTTCCCCACATGGATTATATGCAGGACACAGGTGGAAACAGGGAGAGGAATGTAGTGAAAAGGGGATTTTCCTCACCCCACAAAGTCTAACCCCCTAAAAAAACACCATTAAAGGAAATCACAATTGCAATTGCAAAATTCCCTGGGGTTTTGGATGGGGTACTAAAGAGTCACCTATTTGAGCATGAAACACAAAGCATTTAAAACTTCTAATATGTATCTCTTCATCCAGGACCTACTCAGAGATCTATGAAGAGAAGTGACAGACCTGGACACCTGGGACACTCCACTTCCCAAAGCTTTGACTCCAGCAGGATGGAGAACCAGCTTCTGGAAGACAAAGCCCTGTGGGACTATGAACACAGACCTTTGGTGTTTGGGATTTTTTTGGGTGTATTTTGTTCCTCCCCCTCCCTGCCCTAACCAAACCCATGCTGTGGTGAAAGGGATGACAGTGACCTACAGGACAGGCTGTGGGATCACATTCTGGGAATACTTCATGGGAAAAGATCTTAGAACAAAGATGCCGGTTAGATAAATACATTAGAAAGTCTGTACTTCACAAATGGGAAAGAGAAAGAGGTTTAAGGTGAAAAAGAGGTTTTCTCCCTCTGTTCTTCCCAACAGTCAGAGCTGTGATTTAATTCAGAGCCAACAGCTCTGCTTTAAATTGCGATGGAGCCCAACAACTTGATTTCAAACACATCGAACACCTTCTCCCCTTGTGCAATGATATTTGGGATATAAAACTGGGAAAAGCAAAGCAAAATAAAATGGGAAGTCACTGCAAAAGCCAAAGCCCTGTTTATTCCTTCTTCTCTACTTGCAAGAAGTCCTAAATTGAACCTGCTTCCCAACTGTTATGTCCCATTTTTACATTTATTCAGCACACCTGGCACTTTTCTGGGCATCCAGTACGAGATGCGAAAAAGATTTGTTCTTGTGGGAGGGTGGGAAACCAAACATGAAGGAAATGGGGAGTCTAGTTCCAGAACTGAGCAACTGTCACAAACTTTCCAGAATCAGGTGTTTTCCAACAGTCTGATGAACGAGGGGTGTTACTGATTTACCTCTGCTGTGGGTGACAAACTCCAACCTATGTGTAACACCTGAACTACAACACCTGAACTACAAATGCAGTGAACAAAGAAACGTGAAGATCCAACTTCAAACTCCACACTGGGAGTTTTTCAGAGCACAAGTCATTCCCACGTTCGGATTCCCCAAAAACTCAGCTCTGCAGACTATAAATTATATGGATACTGTATAAAACACACCCCCAAGGGGTATTTACACACTTCCAGCTTTCCCCCAGAAGAGCCACAGGGATGAGCTCTGATCCAACAGCAGGGCACCATTTATTTAACATCACAGCATGATCCTTAGTGAACACAAAACCATCAAACCCTATTTGTGGCTAGAAGGGAGAAATTAAACTGTTACACCTGTGAGAACAGGTGAAGTGAACGAGTGCCGGGTAGGACATTGCAAAACTTGAACAGCAGTGACAGGGCTCCCTGGGGCAGCTCCTCAGCACCGACCCCAACGAGAAACCAAAACCCAAACAACTCCCCCGGCGGCAGCAGCTCCGTTCAGCTGCCCAGGAGCCGCAGGAGCTGCGTGGAGGCCCAGTGACACCTGGTGGCTGCTGGGACAGACTGGGAACACCCCGAGGGTTTCCACAACACCGCTGCCGCCTTCTAGTTAACACCCAAATTAACTCCTCTGGAGCTTGTTGCTGCTGGAAGCCTCTGTCACTGTCCCACGAGTGAGTGACCCCCGACGCAGAACGTGCTCCCCAGGCAGGCCCCCCTTGGCAGTTCACAGCTTCCACTCCCAAAAGTGGGGGAAAAGGGGCTCTGACTCTTCTGCTCACAGGCTGTAAACTGTGATCTTGATGTCAGTGTTCTCAAACACTTCCCCAAGGATCGCTGACACTTTATCCCACTGCAGGCCATCAAGTCCACATCCAATCCTGGAAGATAAGACATCCCAAGAGCTGGAATGGCCTCATGCTGTGCCCAACCAGCCCTTGGAGCAGCTGCAGTTTGAAATGGCCCCAGCTCAGCTCCCCATAAACCAACAGAACACAGTGAGAACAAGGAAACGACTTGAATTTGTTCTGTTGGTACTGAAGTGCACCGAGAAATGCAAATTTCATCTGCCCAGCTGAACAGAGGAGTTGGATAGGGGAGCATACTTGAATTCTTCTTTCGCAGCAGGGGCTCATCCTGAAACATCTTTCTAGGCACGAAACACCCAAGTAGTGCCATCCCAGTCTCTGGTTCCCTCACCTGGGCATGGAGATGTCCGTGACCCCGTTGTGCAGGCAGTGAGCTCTCATGGCTTCCAAACTCTTCCGCATGCTCTCGTACGTTGGTTTGTGAGACACCTTCTGCTTTGTAATCTGTGTCACAACAGAAAAGGTCAGCTGAGCCTTTGGCACGACCACTGCAGACTCCTGCCTGTTATAGAACATAGTCCATGACATTCTCAAAATCCCTACCCGGATTTGCTACTGTGGAAAGACTTGAACAAAGCACTACGTTCACAGCTTAAAATACTCAGCAGCCAGTTCTGTCCATGTAAAGGTTAAATGTACATGCACAGGAACAGCCTGGCTGCTCCTCAACCAGCAGTGTTTGAGTAACACATCTCACACCTCTTGCTGAGACCTTTGCAGAAACTCCCTTCCTGTGCCTGAAGGGAGCCCACAAGAAAGATGGAGAGAGATTTTTTACAAGGGCCTGGAGTGACAGGACAAGGGGGAAAGGCTTCACACTAACAGAGGGCAGGGTTAGGTGGGATATTGGGAAAAAATCCACAGGTTGCTCAGGAAAGGTGTGTCTGCCCTGTCCCTGGAAGTGTTCAAGGTCAGGTTGGACAGGGCTTGGAGCAAGCTGGGATAGTGGAAGGTGTTCCTGCCCATGGCAGATGGTGGGACTGGATGAACTTTAAGGTCCTTTCCAACCCAAACCTTTCCAGGATTCCATGATTCCATGAACATGACCAAAAACCCCACAGATATTAAAGACTTCACGATATTGGATACTACAGATATTGGACACTACAGTTTATCTACAGAGAGGTGCCCCAGGGACATCCCGACTCTTACCAGGTAGTAAATGTATCTGTCATCTCTCTGCAGAACAGCCACCTCCCCCGTCTTCTTCTCTGTGAGCAGAAATCACAGCACGTTTAAAACACCCACACCCACTCCACCAGCCCCGAGCAGCTTGGAGCACCACCCCTCCCTGCAGCTCCTGCAGGTACCACTCACTTTGGTCCAGCAGCTCCTGGACGCCTCCGAACTTCTTCTTGAAGAGCACGGCGATGCCGGCGCCCATGCGGCAGTCCTCGCTGATGCAGTGCGCCAGCGCGTCCGACGGCGGGCACGAGAACAGGTCCCCCTTCACCTCCCGCAGCTGGGCACGGTCAGCAAAGAGAGCAGAGACAGCACGGGTGGGCACAGAATGTCCTGGGCACAGGGAGCGTGCCCAGCCTGCACAGGCTTTGACACGCGCTTCACTAATAGACGAGCCGGCGCGGATTACAAACCCCACACGGAGAATTTCAAACTCCATGTACAGAATGACAAGCCCCACGTACAGAATTACAAACCCTGTACACATAATTACAAACCACTGCACAGGTAACGGGTATCACATGCCGGCCTGGCAGTTAATCTTACAAAATCAAAGTTTAAAAGGAGAATTATGTGATACGGCACAGCTGGATCAGCGCACACCCCCGGCACCACCAGTGTGTCAGTGCTGGGTGTTTGGGCAGCAGGGTGAGCTCTCTGCTCTTGTGCAGCATCTCCACCACTGACAGAAGTACAAAAGCACACGAAAATCTGCACTAGCAGCCACTTTGCCCCCCAAAGCTGCAGGATGCAGCCAGTGCCCTGCTGTTGGGGCTGTAATCGCGGGAAGGCCTCTTTGCAGAGACACGTGTCACAGCAACACCCCACGTAACCCATTTCCTACGCACTCTCTCCTCCTGATCCTTGGAAAAGTGGGTGGCCATGGTAACGTGGGGGATGGAGAAGGCTCCTGAGGCTGGAAAGATGAGAGAAAAACAGTTGTTAAGAACGCCAAGGCTGGCAGCAGGCTGGTGTAGAGGGTGCAAGGCTAAGCTGATGTATCTGAAACAGCTCAAGGGGAGGTCGGTACACCTAGGGAGGCCTGTGCAGGCCTGCGCGCCTGCTGCGCCCACAGCTCCGGCCGGGGTGGGGGGGACCGGCCCTGGGTCACCGCACAGCGGGCACCGCCAGGCTGCTGCTACCGCCCTCCTCCTCCTCCTCCTCCTCCTCCTCCCGCCCCTCAGGGCCCCTCCGGCGCCGCACCCGCGGTGAGCACAGCGATCCGCCGGGCCGGGGCCGCGGCCTGCGCCACGCCGAGCCTGCCCAGCACCGCCCACATCGCTCCGGCCTCTCCGCAAGGGCGGCCCCGCCTCACTGGGACTCCGGCGGTACCGCCTCACGGGGGCATTGCCGGTACCGCCTCACACAACATGGCGGCACCGCCTCACCCCACACGGCGATACCGCCTCAGCCAACACTGCGGTCCCGCCTCACGGGGACATGGCGGTACAGCCTCAGCCGACACTGAACCAGAGCCGCTTCACGGCGACGGGGCTCTACCGCCCCACACAACATGGACGATCCCGCCCCACAAAACATGGCGGCCGCGCCGCTCTGTGCACGCGGGCGGACCCCTCTCTATGGTACCGGCCCAGAACATTCCGCGCCGAGGGGCGGGGCCTGTCGTGCCCGCCCCCGAAGCGCGAGAGTGGGCGGGGCTCCCCCGCGCGTGCGCAGCGCTGCCCCCGCGCAGGCGCAGAGCCCGCGGGCGGGGCCCGGGAGCGGGTTGGGCGGCGGGGCCCCGCCCCTCGCCCCCTTTGTCCGCGGTTGGGCGCCATCTTGCGCGGCGGGCGAGTGCGGGCGCTGATTGGGCTTCGGGGCCGCGCGGCGGAGCCAATCAGCGCGGGGCGCGGAGCGGAGCGCGGCACGGTGAGCGCGCGCCGGGACGGGCGGGGCGGGGGAGCGGGACGGGCCCGGGGCTCCCGGGAGGGGCCCGGAGCGGCGGGTGAGTGGGGCCGGCACTGCACTCGCCTGCTCCGGGACTGGCGGCGAACCGGGGCCTGGCTCTTCCGGCGCCGGGCAGGGCAGTCGGTGGCTCGTCCTCCCCCGGCGGGGCCCGGAGCCCGCAGCGCCCCGCCCTCCCCGGCGCCTCCCTGGGGCCTCCCCGGCGGCAGATGGGCCCGGGCCGCCCCCCCCGCTCGTCCTGCCCCCCCCCCCGTTCGCGGCGGTTCGCGGCCGCGGTCGGTGCCGCCGGAGGTGTCCGGTCACGGGGGCTCCGGGAGCGGGCCCGGTCTCTCGAGCAGAGGGGGGTGAACCTGCCCGGCCCTCCCGGAGAGCCCCGGGCCGGCGGTTCCCGCAGCACAACGACCCCCCCGGTCCCTGCCGGACTCCGGACCGGTCCCGGGCCCCGCGCGCTGTGCCGGCCTGTCCTGCCGGGCAGCGCAGACAAAGTGCGGGGGTGAAACCCCGTCCGCCCTTCGCCGCTGCCCTTGGAGGGATCGCGGCTCTGCCCTGGAAACTCCCGCCCGTTCAGATGGGACACGTTAAAACGCGTCCCAGGGCCGGGCATCACACGGGTTTGCCTTTAGAGCGGGCTGTCTGCTCAGGAGACTGGCACTGCTGCAGCGTCTGTGCACTCATATATATGTGTGTGTGTATAGATATGTAAATAAATATATATTCTTGGTGTGCAGGGCCAGGAGTTGGACTTTGATGATCCCATCCGGTCCCTTCCAACTTAGGATATTCTGCGATATATATATATTTATAGTGCTGGGACTGGAACCCTCAGTCATTCCCAGTGCGTTCCCAGTGAGGAGGAGCTGCCTGTGAGCTCACTGGGGGAGGAGCTCCATCCTGCCGTCCATGGATCTCTGATCTTTAAAATTTAACTTGGCTGCTCTGTGTTAATGAAGGGAATGAGATAATCCCTTGCAGGATGAGGAGCCAGCACGTGGAAAATCCGGTCTGTAACTTTGGCTGTGGCTGGTGCAGAGCATTAGGATTACAGTGCTGCTGATATTGTAATTAAACAAGACAGGCTTGATCCGGGGGGCTGGGATGAAGCATTCCCAAGTAGAGGTTTGCCTGTGCTTGATTATTGGTTGTATCATTAGGGAAAACAGAGAACTGGCAAATACAGTGTCCTGGCACCCTGTGCTGGATACTGAAACGTTTCCCTGGAGAAGGAAATGTGGGAACTGCTCTCTGACAGGCCCACAGGCATTTGGGGCAGAAATGAAGGATCCAGTGCAGAACTGAAAGGAGACACATGACAGACACCAGCATGTTCAGGAAGAATATTTACTTGCTTTTATTCTGGCAGGCTGGGAGAAACTGTTAGTAAATGGGCAAAGGATGGAGCTGAAACGGCAGCAGTAACCACAGCAACTGTTCCAGGGAGTCTGGGACTACATTCTGTCAGCATTCCTTGGAAAACTGAGAGAGCCTGAGGGGGTTTGTTGCTTCAGGCTTTGAAAATTAAAGTTCCAGGCTGTGTTTTCTTTCCCTAATGTAGCAGGTACTTGTTCAGTCATGCCATGAATCAAAGACCTTGTTACAGTAACAGTAAGAATTCTTCCCTTGTTGATCCTGGGAGAAGCAGGGTGAGGGAAAGGAGGTGCTGGAGCTGATGTTTTATTTCAGCACTGTGTTCGCGTGTGTAGGGAAAGGGCCAAGGAACGAGCGGCAGCAGGAGGCTGGAGGCGCTGGGAAATCTGCTGGTGGTTCCCAAAATACATGAGGAATATCTTTGAATATATAAGTTCTTTATGGAAGAAATTAAGCCCTGTGAGGGTCGTGAGGCTCCCCCATCCCTGGAAGTGTTCGAGGCCAGGTTTGATGGGGCTGGGAGGGGGTGGAACTGGGTGGGCTTTAAGGTCCCTCCTGACCCAAACCATTCCATGATTCTATGGAAATAAGAGGAAAGGGAAGAGATATGAGGAATGGTGTGTAGTGGGGGAAGGAGAGAGCTTCAGTTAGCTCTGCTGGATTCTTGAAATGTAGTTTGGTTTTACAGCCAAATGTTGCATTTTGGGAGGTTCTTTAGCAGTGACACTCCCCCCACAGGCAGGTGTCTGTAGCCCAGGACATGCAGACTCCAAGAGGAGGAAGAACAGGTTCAGAGCTCCTGTTGGAGGCACTGAAGATCAGGACAGAACTGGGATACTCTGCCCCTCAGTCAGGGTAGATGTGCTTGAATTGACCTCTCTGGTTTGTTCCTGTCCCTCAGGAAGCAGCAGCTGCCTGTGAGCCCCTGCCCTGGGGGCAGCAGATGCTTTGCTGTGCAGCCCCTGTAAGAGAACACAGATGTGGACAATAATGAGCTGCTCTGTCCCTCTCTGCAGGAGCCAGCCCAGGGTCCTGTGGCCATGGAGCAGTACACGGCCAACAGCAACAGCTCCACGGAGCAGATCGTGGTGCAGGCCGGGCAGATCCAGCAGCAGGTATGGAAGGTGGGGAGGGGGGGCTGGGGGGGCAGTGCTCACTGACACCCCCTTTGTGGCCCCAGAGGGTCACAGGAGCACTGAGGGGCTTCGTGATCCTGCCTGGACACGTGTTCACCTGACTCCTGGCACCTGCTCAGGGATCTGACTTGGCTGAAGGTCAGAGGAAACGTGGGTTTTATAATACAGGAATTATCAGATTAAATTGCAGGTGTACAAGTTGCCAGATTTCAGTGTAGCAGGGAGTTGGCAGAGTTTGGGATGTGAGGGGAGGAACAAATCTCTGAAAATGGAGGAGACAGACTATGAACAGAAACAGGCAGTTGTCCACAGGAACAGTGTAGGGTCCCCTCCAAATTGAAACAGGTTTTGTTCAAGCCCACAGAGGCTTCCTCCAAGCTTCCTCAAAAGAAATATTTATCGAGATTCTTCATTTTACAAGTGATCCCTTCCAGAAAGAAGTTCCTAGTTCATGTTACAATGTGCAGATGAGCAGGGCTGGATTTTTAAGGGCTTATTGATTTTTACTGTTAAACTTCCCCCGTTCAGATTTTGTGATGTATTTTCAGATAAGTTGTGCTGCTGCTGAATTTTTGTTGCTGAATTTTTGTTCTAGTTCAAGGCAAGAGGAGTTTAATAGTTTGTCATGCAAGGGGATGAGCCACTGGATCATGTTCTCAGCGAGATCTGCTTTGCTTTGGCTTCAGCAAGGACCAGCTTCTCCCATTGAATTTAATCAACTTTTTCAGGCAGAACAAGATTGCACTTGAGGTTAAAAAACTTTACATTAGGGTTTATCAAAAATACCTGCTTCCAGCAGACAACCAAAGATCTATGTGGTTTTATTGACACTTTCACTGTCAGTACATGCTCTTAAAGCCTGTGTTTGACATGAGATGTTTTTCTCAAATGAGTTGTTTTAACAGGCTGTTGCAGTACAGCTCTTAGGAGAGAGCTGTCCTTCCTCTCCCCAACGCTAACACAGTTACACAGATTATTTTGGGACTCTTACCAAGGAGGCTAAAGATAGAGAAGGCTTTTAGCTCTAACTGCTCTTGCAGCCTCTCCAGATTGTCCTTCAAGGTCAGTGGTGGGCAGAGATTGACACAGAGAGGGCAGAGATGGAGCTCCCACTGTGCTGCAGGAAGGGGTTTGTGGCCTTTGTTGTGACAAACCAGTGTGACCAAACCCTGCAGCCCTTCCCAGTGAGAAACCTGGGCAGTGAAGGGAGCATTGAGCAGGATAAAACCCTGAAACTGAGGTTTCACATTCTGCCAAACAATCCCTCCAGTCCCTTGTAGGTGAATTCAGTCGGGGTGTTGAAGCCTGTCAGTGCCACGTGCGGTTCTGTGGGAATTCCATCCGTAGGTTTGCTAAATGTTCCCACTCCTCGTGTTCCCAGAGCAGTGTGTATGAATTTTACACTCACCCTCGTCGTTGTGTCGTGCCAGAGCTGTGCCTTTCCCTGTTTCAAGCTCTCCCTGTTCCTGTTCCCAGCAGCAGGGAGGTGTCACTGCTGTCCAGCTGCAGACTGAGGCCCAGGTGGCATCGGCCTCAGGCCAGCAAGTCCAGACCCTGCAGGTAGTGGTGATCTCTCTGATTGTGTTTCTGAGCACTGCATGACCCTCCCCACGCCACATATCTAATGCTGTGTTTGGTCAGGGCTGCAGGAGGGACAGGAGCATTTGGCAGCAGCAGCACCTGTGCTGGATGCTGTAGGGCTCTGGGGTTTTCCATGGCCTTGGAGCTTGGCTGGGCTCTCCCAGGACCCCTGCTGCGTTCAGGAGTTCCTGCTGCTGTGGTTCTGAAAGGGAATAGTCGTTAAATGGGGCTTCAAAGGAAAAAACGTGCAGGTGAGGAAGTGACAGTGGAGATAAACCCCAAAGATTTCCTGTAGTTCCAAGGAGATGAGTTTTCTGATCTCCCCTGTGGGGAGTTCTGTAGTTCTTCAGTCCATGACAGGCAGAGGTGGTGGGTGAGCCCTGAGCTTGAAGAGTGAAACCTTTTCCTGTGATAGAAAGAGCACCTGGGGACAATATTGGCCTCTGTGGGATGGAGTGATCCAATTCCTTATTTACAAATGACTAACACAGGGCAACCCAGGAGCAGTGGGAATCCGAGCAGTAAATGCATCACAGATGGAAAGAAATGATTTGTTTCAGTGTGAAGTATTTTCTGTCTGCAGACCCCATTTCCTTACCTCACACAGGCTTTACAGGGGCTCACAAACCCTCTTTAAAGCAGCTGACAGACCCTGGGCAGCCCTAGCATTTAGCACTGCACTTTGCTCTCAGTTTTTTGGTTTCGTTTAGTTTTGAATTCTTCAGAGCAGGAGAGTTCCAGGGGGCTGGAATGGTCTTGCCAGGTGCAAAGTGAACACAGCATTTTTTATGTTCAGAGTTAAAATCTGAATTGCTGACTGACTCGGATTGCTTGGGTCCCTGTGGCCTCTGGTTGTTGCTATGTTCCCCACCCTCTCTTCATTTTGTCTTGCTCTAATTCATTAACAAAAGTCCTGGAATGTGTCGTTTTCCTTTCTGCTTATTGGATATTGTGCTGCTGCCTGTGCTTCTCTGTGGCTGACATGAGCATGCTCCTCCCTGTAACCCAGACCGAGTCCTGCTGATGTGTTGAGGGACGTGGATGTGACTGTACAGGCTGAGGGACAGCAGTGTCACAGCTGGGAGGTGACCTGTGGAGTCACCAGACTGGGGGTAGGACTCATCTCTGAGGTACAGCTGGTCATTCCCTGCATGTGCTGGGACCTCGCTCCTGAGGTGTGTGAACCCTGCAAGGTTCCCTCTGTTCAGGGATCCCAGAGTGTCCTGACTGTCCCAGGAATTCACAAGGAGAAACATGGGAACTCAGTGACTTTTACCAGGTTGTGTTACTCTTGTTCCCAAACAGCTCAGCTTCCTATTTCATAACTCATTTCACATTTAAGCTGTGGAGGAGAGCATTTTCCAAGATATATTTGGGGAAATGAGGGATTTGGCAGGTGAGGGTGTTTAAACAGAGAGGTTTTCCCCTTCTTTTTCTTTTCATGGACCTTTCTCCCAGAGGCTTTCATGCCAAACTTACCATAGAATCCCAGACTGGTTTTGTTGGAAGGGACCTTAAAGCCCATCCAGTGCCACCCCCTGCCATGGGCAGGGACACCTTCCACTATCCCAGCTTACTCCAAGCCCCTCCAACCTGGCCTTGGACACTTCCAGGGATGGGGCTCCACAGCTTCTCAGGGTGACCTGTGCCAGGTCAGATATATATTTATGTTTATAAATCCACTCTAAGCCTTGTTGGGCTCAGAAGTGGCTGCTGCTCGTCTGCTTTCACTTTTCCTCCCTGAACTGCATTTTGTGTTGCTCCAGTTACAGTTTTCACTTAATAACCATGAAGAGTTTCTCTAAGCACATCACATGCTCCGTGTCAGTCAGGAAATGGAAATGTTGTAGGCATGAAATTGGAGAGAGCTGAAGCCACCCCAGAATGTCCCTGTAAGAGCAGCTTATCCAGAGCTCTCTCAATAGGAACCCCCATTAAAGATCAGTAATTGTGATGTGGAGAATGGAGTTTCTTTTATTCCACGTTGCTCTTGGGCTGTGCATGAAGGTAGTTACCGTGGCTCGAAAATCTGGCGATGCTTTTCGTGCTTTGTGGCAATTAGACTGCAAGAGAAACAGATCATTTACTGAACCCCGCAGCACATCCCGGGGGAAGCTTCAGAAAGCCGGGCTGTTTGCCCTCGGGTTGGTGCCTGGTGCGGGGTTTCTGTGCCCACCGCGGCGCCGGGGCCGGCCCTGGAGCTCTGGGTGGCAGTGCCGGGGGTTTCATCGTGGCTCTCTCTGTTGCAGGTGCAGGGGCAGCCGCTGATGGTCCAGGTGAGCGGCGGGCAGCTCATCACCTCCACCGGGCAGCCCATCATGGTGCAGGCCGTGCCCGGCGGGCAGGGCCAGACCATCATGCAGGTCCCGGTGTCGGGCACGCAGGGGCTGCAGCAGGTGAGACAAACAGCCAGGGCTGGGGCCAGCTCCCAGGGGACACGCTGGGTGTTCCCACAGCCACACCGTGGGCACAGGCTGTTTCCTGCGGGGGTGCAGTGCCGTGAAGGGCCGTTGGGAACTTGGCTCTTGTGCTCTGTGGCTTGGTGCAAACCTTTTGGGTGAAGGTGCAAACCTTTTGGGTGAAGGTGCAAACCTTTTGGGTGAAGTCCACTAAAATACAGCTGGGTTGGTTTGGGTTTTTTTTCGTACAGTCGTGGAATGGTTTGGGTTGGGAAGGACCTTAAAGCCCATCCCGTTCCACCCCCTGCCATGGGCAGGGGCACCTTCCACTAGTCCAGGTTTTTTGTTTGTTGGGATGGTTTTTTTCATTTTACCTGGCCCTTGCAGTGTACTTGGGGATCTGGTGCCTGCTCAATTTATGGCTCAGAAAGAGGATTTAAAAAAAAAAAGCAACCTGAAGAAAGCCTCTGGAAAACACCTCCTGTGCTTGAGCTCATCTAATATGTGATGGCTGAAGGGGAATTTAAACATCCCCTTTGCACAGAAGGCAATACTGTAGAAGGTACAGAAGGTGGATTTTTTTGGAAACAATTATCTGGAAATACTTGTAAATTTAAAGAGGTGGTTGAAGTGTGTTTGTTTGTGAAGCAAAGGGAAGATCTGTAACCATGGCATAGTGGAAGTGTCCTGGTGATTTAGAATGGGATTTAGGAATCCAGTTCAGCAGAGTCCAGGAAAGCAAATGATGTCTTGGTGTTTTGAGAGGTTAATTTAAAATTTCTTCTGTTGAAAACAATTATATTTTGTGCAAGGTTTTTTCCAGTCTGGTTGTTGGAGGAAAATCAATAACTGGGTTTTTAAGCACAAGCTTCAAACCATGTTCCAGTTCCCTTTTTTAATCTAAGAATGTTTCATGGTGGTGGAAAGACTTTGCAAAGCTGAGGACAACTTTATATATACCAGGAGTACTTCTGTATGCTGGATAATTAACACTCTACAGATGTCTTAAATCTTAGTCCTCTTCTTCTTTCACCTGACTATTATTATTACCAGTTTCATGTGAATAATTTATTTCTTCTGACTGATTTATTGTGTAAGCAGTGGAGAACTGCTGGAGCACAGTGACACAGCATGTTGGTCCCTCTGCTGTGTGGCTGTGGTGATGTGTCACAGGGAGGAATCCATTAAAACTCCTCATTTTAAAATGGAAAAAGAGAAGACTCGGTGCTTTCTTTTTCTGTGCAACAGTAAATCATCCTCAGAGATGACTTGGTCATGCTGAGGCCAAGGAGGGAGAAATCAGAGGCATAGTTAATGTTCCTTTCTGACTCTTTCTTCCACAGATTCAGTTGGTCCAGCCAGGTCAGATTCAGATTCAAGGTGGGCAGGCTGTGCAGGTACAGGGGCAGCAGGGCCAGACCCAGCAGATCATTATACAGCAGCCCCAGACTGCAGTTACTGCTGGCCAGACACAGGTAACTGCACCAGCATGAAAGGCTTTTCTGGAGAGGAACAGGAAGAGAAACTTGCCAAATGACTTAAGATGTGGTTAAGTAAAAAAGGGAAAAAAAAAAGAAGGAATTATTAATATTGAGGAGAACTTGAGAATAAATGTCATGTTTTTGTAGTGTTTTCATACATAACTCTGGGGCAGAATAACTAGATTGCATGTTTTTATCCATTGTGTCTTTGTATTTTATTGGTTCGTGGTTGTTTTTGTCTATTTGTTGAATTTTGAAAACATGAAGCATTGCTAATTCCATACTTGGGCCATTTTGTGGAGTAGTCCAGTCACACCTGGGGTTTCTGCTGATGCTTTTGGTTAGGACCAAAATTAAATTTCGGAGCAGAATAGTTCTTCCTTTTGCATATTCATAGCGAGACAGGAAACCTAGAATTTGTTCTTTCAATATTGAACACTGCACTGTTAGAAAAAGTATCTCACATGTGCTTCAGGTGTTTTATCTCCAGTTATTTGGTCTGTGCTCCAACCTGTTTCTTGATGCTGGTAATGAGGCAACATTTACAGATGCCTGGAACACCTCAAGCACCATGTGCTAATTCAGGAATTGTAAAATGTGGGAAAAAAAAAGCAATCTGTAAAGTTCCTGTGCTGTTTGTTTTGTTTAGACCCAGCAACAAATAGCAGTGCAAGGCCAGCAGGTCGCCCAGGCTGCTGAGGGCCAGACCATCGTGTACCAGCCCGTGAACGCCGACGGCACCATCCTGCAGCAAGGTAGAGAGCTGGGGGAGCAGGGGCTCTTGGGTGGGGGGTTACTCAGTGCCCTGGGACTATTGTCAAAGAACACACTGAGCTGAGTGCTGGGATCACACTGCTGGTGTGTGAATGTGGGAGGAGATGCTTTTGTGCTGCAGGAATTCACTCTGAGGTTCTTTCCCCGGAACCGTAAAAAATGGGTCTTGTCTTTGGCAAGGGCTGTTAGAACAGAAACCCTTAATTTTGCTGTTACACCTCAAGAGTACACGGTCTCTTACATCACACAGGGGTTACTGTGCAGGCACAAATGCAAAAACCAGGAATTCTGGTGGAATTTAGTTACTCACTTCCGTGCTTTCGTGAATCTCTGCATGTTATGGAAGGATGAATGAGTAAAACACAGAAGTGGGACTAATGGTGTTCCCTTCTTTTTGTGTGCGTGTTTTTGTTTCGTTTTTCTTTTTTTTTTTTTTTCTTTTGTGTTTTACTTCCTTAAAGTTACAGTCCCTGTTACAGGCATGATCACCATTCCAGCAGCCAGCCTGGCTGGAGCACAGATTGTCCAGACAGGAGCCAACACCAACACCACCAGCAGTGGCCAAGGGACAGTCACAGTGACACTGCCAGTGGCTGGAAACGTTGTCAATTCAGGGGGAATGGTCATGGTAGGTGTGAAACTTCCCACTGATGTCTTCAAGGGCTGAGGTTTAAGATGCCTGTACACAGATCTGCCTGGATTTTCACAGGGGTGTGGAGTGATAGGGAGCAATGGCCTTAAGGCTTAAATAGTTTGAGTCAACAGTTAATTTTCTCGAGGGTCCCTCAGGATTTGGTTCACAGAGGTTTTTCGCCAGCTCCTATTTCTTTTGTAGTGTGAGGCCCTTTACCTGGAGTTTTGTTGGTCCCCACTAGATGTCAGCAGCTCTGCAATGTTTGCTTAGAAATGCTCTGAAATTAGCATGTAATTCAAAGAAGAGAGAACCCAAAAAAAGGGAAGACTTGGTATGTCCTGTTTAACTGTACAAGAAGCAGCAACATGGTCATGGAATTGTATAATTTATGGAAATTCTGCTTTTATCAGAAAAGAAAAAGCAAGCAGGAGTGATAAGTAATTGACTTGTTTAAATTTGTTCTGCAGTTTGAGAACAGCTTTGTTGCTGCTTTAAGCAGCTGCATTATCTGAGCAAAACCCAAACACTTTCCATTTTAATGGTTTGATTTTTTAATTGTTTTTAGTGTTCATTTTGTGTTGTGAGCTGCAAGTACTAAACCACCTTCTCTGCACAGATGGTGCCTGGAGCTGGGTCAGTCCCAGCCATCCAGAGAATCCCTTTGCCCGGGGCAGAGATGCTGGAGGAGGAGCCCCTCTATGTGAATGCCAAGCAGTACCACCGCATCCTGAAGAGGAGACAGGCACGGGCTAAGCTGGAAGCAGAGGGAAAAATTCCCAAGGAAAGAAGGGTGAGAAGACAACTCTGGTCTAACACAGGGTTGCTCTGTGAGAAAGGCACAGAACCCCACCCAGGCTGGAAAATGAGGACTGGAATCTTGGTGGTTTTTAATGTTGTTGTTGTTCGTAAGCTACATCAGGGCAAATTTTTTAAGTCCTTTGGGGACAGTCCTGCTTCCTTTGGATGCTTTGGGGTGTCCTTGGAGCTGTGTTACAAGTGGGTATTGACTGTACACATGCTGTCTGTGGGCAGGGGGATGGATGGGGACGGGGCAGGCTTTTCCAGCGGTCGGGAATGTCCCCTAAGGAAGCACTGACCTGGAAATTGTGGCTGCTCTCTCATGTCCTGCTTCCCTTTGCTGCAGAAATACCTGCACGAGTCCCGGCACCGGCACGCCATGGCCAGGAAACGGGGAGAGGGGGGACGCTTCTTCTCCCCCAAGGAAAAGGACAGCCCTCACATGCAGGTCAGTGGGCTTTGGTCTGCCTGTTGGACAGCTGCCCCTTTCAGTCCTTCACGTTGCTCTTTACAGGTGTTGTACTGGTTTGTTTGGATTTTCTGGAGGGTGCTGACCATTGTCCTTCCCTGCCTTCGAATTTATGTTTCAGGCATTGGGGAAAAAACCTCCTGTCTTGTAGAGAGCAAGTGATGTTTGCCTTGAGGAATTTAATGACAGTAATGTGGATAGAAGTGTATTCGCTTTATATTTCTTAGGGCAAACTCACACAAACATTCTGTGTTTGTAAAACAGAAAAATAAAACGTGAATATCTGATTCTTAGCTGCACATTGATTTGCATAGAAAGTGCAAGGCAGGTTTCAAAGGAAGGGATGCAATGGAGTAGAATCAGCAGGTTCTGTTGTTCATCAGTTCTTTGGAGCAGTCCTGTGGCTTTAGGGAATGTTTCTTATCCTGAAGTAGAATCCTTCCCAAATACCAGGCCAGTAATAGGTCTTCCTGATTATCAGGATGGCACCTTCCTGGGAACTGTTAGGATTTTTGTATCCCAGTCTCTTACACTGGCCTGTAAAACCCAGGAACACTAGGACACATGTCAGTATGAAGGGAGGGGCAGGAGTGTCTGCTCCTGGTAGCTGTGTGTGCTTCTCCCTGCTTCATGGAGAAGTGTTGAAGTCCAACCTGGGATGTATTTTGTGTCTGCAGGATCCCACTCAGACCAACGAAGAAGCGATGACACAGATGATCAGAGTCTCCTAACCACTGCTTCCAGGAGAAAAGCACCTGGATGGAATTCCCAGACCTCCTGCCAGTCTGTCCTGCCTGTCCAGTGTGTCCAGCGAGCCTTTGAGTGGGACAATCACCCTGTCACAGCCTGTCCTTTCCTACAGAACAAGCACCACGTGTTCAGGGCGTGGTTGAGATTTTAACAACAGAAACTTCCAGACTTCCTTGGTGCACTCTCCTGATGCAGCACAGGGAATTTGGAGTCTCACTGCTCGTCAGCTGCACCACAGGACTGTGTTTGCCCAGCAGAGTCTTATTTCCATCCACTCCTGACACCTTTGGACTTTGTTTCCCTGAACTGGTCTCTGTTGTTGCACTTCTGGACCTGGCAGAAACTGAAGGGGATTCTTTTCAGTTCCACCTTGTAAATGTGTAAAACAACAAACTCTTCTCGGGGAAAGGTTCAGCCATCCAGTCAATGAGAGAAATACTCAAGATTACTGCAGGACTTGGTGTATTGTGTGTCTGTTCCAAGAACTGAGGTGGGAAAGGGTGATGTGGGGAGAAGGATTTCATTAGTAAAAGCAGTCTCTGGGGGGTTTTTATATGTTTATTGCCAGTAGTTGTTTCTTTGGAAGAAAACTGGATGCAAGTATAAAAGTGATTTAAACTTTTAAGTGAGTCTCTTCCAAAGGGTTTTTTGTTTTAAACCTTCCCTCTAACCTGCCAGTCGAGTGCAGAGTTCCTTCAGAAGACATCAAATCCTCAGTCTCAGAGTGTTGGCACTTGATCAGCTTCATGATGGTATTTCTTGATGCCCAGATCCAATCTACAATTCTCCAGAGTGAGGGATGTTCCATTACAGCAGCAGCTGGGGCAGCTCATCTCATCCTGAGGTACCTGAAGGACTGTTAACAAATGAAGGCAGATACTGAAGAACCTTTCAGGCTTTATTATAGGTTATTCTCTTTAAAACAAAAAAAGAAGTGACACTTAATGAAAGAGGAGTACTTAGGACTTTTTCATGACCTACAGCTGGCTTTGGGCTGAGCAACTCCACAAACAGCTTTAGCTTTAATTCTGTAGCTCATTCCAGATTCTCAGCCTGCTCCATTTTTTCTGCTTTGAAATGTAGTGATAGGAGCAGTAGCCAAAAGCAGTTAACAGGTGAATCTCACATCATTCCATGCCTGTCCTCCCCCACCTTAATGAGTTTAAAGCTGCTCTGTGTATCAGGTGCCTGCTGGAGTTCTCAGATCTTCCAGTTTTTGTGTTCTGTGGTTAAAACTGGATCACGGTGGTGAAACTTGGGATTGGGAATATTGCCAGGTAAATATGAACCTGGACAGGTGAAGCTGCAGAGTGAGGGGTTTTGGGGTTTTTGAGCAAAGCAGCCAAGGGTGGCTGAGACTGGGTGAAGTGCAGTGAACGTTGTTTTCAAGTGGAAAAGGAAGTAAATGCAGCTTGAAAAATAAACCCCACAATTATTTCTTCCCCCTCCCTGCCCACATTTTCCCAGTTATTGGAAGCTTATGACTAAAGACAAAGTGGAGGACAAATTAGCAAGTTGTGGATACAAAAGACTGAGCCTTGAAAATTCTGTTGACTTCGCATAAAAGAAAAGTCCTAAACCTAAGAAGGAAGTGAGGGAATGCAAGAGGAGGGAGCAGAAATGTGGAGAAATGCTGGATGCTACATTGTCTGCAGGCAGTCCTGGAGGAAGAGGATGCCTGTCCAGGTACTAGGGGTGACTCCACCTGTGGAAGCAGGTGCCAGTGGAGGAGGAAATGCAGGTGGGTGTTCATAATTGGGCAGCTGGATGTTCTAAAGGATTCCAGTTCATTTTCCTGAATTCTTAGCTCTGTGTGCCCTCCCCATGGTGTTGATGGCATCGTTGGGGCCTTGGGTGCTTCTGCCTTAAATTCTTGCCCAATTCCAGCGTGGTGCTGATTTTCCTCACTTGGCACCTGAAACCCTCACACAGCATTTCCTGGGAGCTCCCCCATTTCAGGAACATGCAGCTCCCTTAGGGAGTAACATATGCTTTAGGTGGGTTTGCAGCAGCATTGTAAATATTTTTTTTAGAGCATCTGTACATTTTGTTGGTGGAATATTTCAGTGCTGGAATAAGAGCCTCTCCATGATGTTTCTGCTGTTTAGCTGATGGTTAATCTCTGTCCTGAGGGAGCCCCTCTGAGAGCTGGAAATTTGGGAAGCAAGGTTATTGCTCTGACATAGTTTTTGTTTTGTTTTGGTTTTTTTTTTAAGGAGTAATTACTTTTCTTAAAGAACTTGTAAGCTTCTTCTAAACAGGTAGAACTTGTTTCCCAATAAGCCCTTCATATCTAGGTTCTCTGATCCATTGTTGTAGAATGTGTATGAAGACATGGATTTGTGTTATAGAAAGTCTTACTGTTGATACTTTAAATAGTGATGTGACAGCCTGAGTGCTCTGGTCAGATTTTTGTTTGTTTTGGGTTATGTGTATCACTGCTAAAAGTCCTGTTTACTTGGTGAGACTGGAGTCACTGGTCAACACCATGGTACCAAAAATGTCTTTTTTCTTTTCCGGGGGGAAATTCGTTAAATTGGAGACATCGTCCAGTTCAAACCTGTCTAGTAATTAAATGAGAATTCTTTGTTTATTGGCTACACTTGAGCAGAAACTTCAGGAGAGAGTAAAAGGGTGAGGATAAAAGAGGCTCGGGGAGAAATGTGGTTGATTGACCCAGAGCACCGAAGCAGTGAACCCCTCAAAAACCAGATTTATATGAGTGTAAAGAGTAGGATTTGGAAAAAAATGGTTCTCAAGTGATGCTTGATGGGTTTAAGGCCCTGCATGTTAAAAAGAAGGGAAAAATAAACTTTTCTTTGTGAATGGACAGGGGAGGGTCCTGAGGTTGAAGTAATGTCAGGCAAAGTTTGTATATAGTTAAAAGTTTATAATTTTTTTTTATATGATGCATTTTTTCAAGTGTATTTTGGTCTTTAATAGATGCAATTGTAAGTACTGTGTACACTCTCCAGCTAATAAAATTTATAAACCGGGAAGCTTTTTCCCTGTATTTGGACGTTGCGAGTGACGTGGCAGCTGTGAGGGCAGGGGGTGGCTTTGGCCCCACTGTGGGGATGGCATGGCCATCTTGGCGTCCATCTCCCCTCAGCCCCATCCCACCATCTTGGCGTCCATCTCCCCTCAGCCCCATCCCGCCTTCTTGGTGTCCGTCTCCCCTCAGTCTGACCCTGCTATCTTGGTCTCTCTCTCTCCTCAACCCTATCCTGCCATCTTGCTGTCCGTCTCCCCTCAGCCCCATCCTGCCATCTTGGCGTCCATCTCCCCTCAGCCCCATCCCGCCATCTTGGCGTCCGTCTCCCCTCAGCCCCATCCCGCCTTCTTGGCGTCCATCTCCCCTCAGCCCCATCCCGCCTTCTTGGTGTCTATCTCCCCTCAGTCTGACCCTGCTATCTTGGCCTTTCTCTCCCCTCAACCCTATCCCGCCATCTCGGTGTCCATCTCCCCTCAGCCCCATCCTGCCATCTCGCTGTCCGTCTCCCCTCAGCCCCATCCTGCCATCTTGGCGTCCATTTCCCCTCAGCCCCATCCTGCCATCTTGGTGTCCGTCTCCCCTCAGCCCCATCCCGCCATCTTGGCGTCCATCTCCCCTCAGCCCCATCCTGCCATCTTGGTGTCCGTCTCCCCTCAGCCCCATCCTGCCATCTCGGTGTCCGTCTCCCCTCAGTCTGACCTCACTGTCTTGGCGCTTTAGGAGACAGTTTCCATGCCTGCCTGTGATCCCTCTGGACACGCTGCTCTTCCACAAGTGCTGCTCCAGAGCTCTCCACAGGATTGGAACGGCACGTTCTCTACGGTATTGGAAATATTTAATGGTATCGACCCCACACCAACGCTTCTGCCATCTCAAAAATGCGCCAAAGCACAAGGGTGAGTGTCATTAGTTCTTTCCAGAATTGGTCAATACAGTGATGATCATGAAAAAAAACTGAAAAAAGGAAATAACTACGTAAGAACAGAGAATGGGAAGCTGGGACAGGAAGAGAACAATCATGCAAGGCTGTTTGGGAAGCCAGAAATAGGTTTCTCTAACTATTATGATGTAATTTTCTAGCTTTGCTTTCATAAAATTTGCAATAGAATAACAAAACCATCTCAGATACAATGATAAAAAGCCTGATATTTTTTAGCCACATCAGAGCAGTCAACAGAATTTACTTCTGTCTCACTCAGAATCTCACAAGCACTCACAGGCAGATATATAACTCACAGAGTTTATACAGTCCATAGGTGTATTCCCTGCTTTTTCCCCTTCCTTCCCTCCTTTGCCACCCAGTGCCCAGACTGGAGTTTTCTTGCCATCTTAGTATCAAAAATTTAAACCTATTTTTGTGTTAGCTCCAGCTCACAGAATTAAGATGAATTTGGGGATTTATCCATAATCCCTGAGGGATGTGTGATCATATCACTGTGATATCAGGGTTCTGTAGTTTGATCAACAGTTTATAGTAAAGTCAAGCTAGGTTTATCCTGGAGTATTGGTGTGTGTTAATGAACAACAAACAGGGAAATACAAAGTTATTTCTTTGTAAAACAAATCAATAATTTCGAATGTAAATTTCACCCCTGCATGTTCAAGCTGATGACAGTTTATATTATAAAGTAGACAAATATTTTCCAACAAGACTCTTGTTTACTAAAACATGTCAAGTGCATTGTCTGTCTCCCTGAAGCCCAGGAAACACCTTGTGTGTTTCAAATAAAGCAGATTTTTACCACTTTGCTGACTTGGATCTTATCAGAGTGGGCAGTAATTAATGCTTTATCTGTGAGTATTCAAGTGAGCTGTTGAAGAAAGTCCAAAGGAAGCATCTCTCGTATCTCACAGCCCCTCGTTGGCTGTGGTGCTGTATCAGCTGCTGCCAGACAGAACCAGTTTCCTGTATTTGGGTTTATAGTTCTATGTCATTTAAAACCAGCAATTTGGAAAAGCAAACATACCACAGCTTTCTTCTGGATTTGCCCACCGGGAGCTGGGTGTGATGCTGTGCTGTTAGGAAAGTGCAGTTGTTTTCCAGGGAAGGTTTGTGCCCCCACGTGTGTCCTTTCAGTTGCTTCTGCCCCTCACCCCATCGCCCACCTTCAGCAACTGGGTACAAACAGGTTGTTTTAAGTGCAGTTCTGCAAAATTCAGTGAACAAGCCCAAGACTTTGTGCTGCTTTCTTTAGGTGAAGCTGTTTTTCTCTGTTGCAGTGTCAGGACGTGGAGCTGTGGTTCTGAAGAGAACAGTCGCGTATTCCACAGGCCCCGAGGAGGCCGAACTTCCCGGCGGTTCCTGCAGGTGGAAGAAAACCTTGGGAGCAGGCTGTACGTTGGCATACAGAACATCCTCGGGCCTGGGCTGCTGCTGGGGCCTGATCACAGCATAGACTGGGCTCCTGCTCAGTTCCCCTTCTGCCATCCCGCTCCCCTTGTGTCCTCTGAGCTGAGAAACCACAAAGAACAAGAAGTTAAAAACAGATTCAGCATTTTTTGCTTCTGAACATTAGCCTTAGTTCATCTACAGACACAAATATTTCCCTTTTGTCTTGTGAAGTTGGGGAAGAGGGGAGGGGATGCGTGGCAAAAGGAAACGTGTGCTCAGAGAAGTTTAGGAAACTTCTACACAAACTCAACTTCCTAAGATTGAAGGGACTGGGGTGGAAAGGTGCAGCCACAATCAACACACTGAATATTTAGGATGATAAAGTTTTCCTTTGATAAGAAGCTTTGGCGATGTTACTGCAGATCCAAGGCCAGTAAATTATCAACACTGTGTATTTGTTATTACATTTATTTTTCTGAGTATACTATAAGCAAAATTAAGCAGAAAGGCTGGGATTTCCTCAAATAACCAAGGTAGGTTGTGGCTGCTTGGCAAAAAGATGTCAGACAACCAACAAGTATGGGCAGCTTTAGTCTGGGAGCTCGAGGGGGTGCCTCTCACCCACTGCAGGATGATGGAACTGCTGCATGGTGACACAGAGCCAGTCTCTGCACAGCAGGGATCAACCAAAGCACCGGGAATGTGGGATTTCTGCTGGTGTCTTACCTGCAGTGCTCTCTGTCTGAAAGCAGGATGTTTGCCAGCGTCCATCCCTTTTCCTGCCAAGAACGACAGAAACTCATTTGAGTGTGAAACACGACCTTTACCTGTTCATTTTAAACCTGACTCTCCCTCCTATCCCTTCCTGGATTCAGCTCACACCTTGCATTCGCTCCCAGCTCATCCCTGCCTCCTTGGAAAGGATTGCTGGGGACAGACCTTCCCTACATCCAGGGGGGTGGGAGGACAAGGTGAGGGGCAGGAAAACCAGACAGGAGGATTTGGGATCTTTACCTGCTCTCTTCATTCTGATGTAGGTGGTGAGGAGGAAGAGAACAGCAGCAACCAGAGCAGTGGTGGGCAGGAAGGAGCTCAGCACCACGAGGGCATGGAGACTGCTGCAGGGAAAACCAGGATATCTCCGTACTACGTACAGCACCAGAGGTGATGAGGTTAATGTGGGAGGGGATTTTGTGTGTTTTACAATGAATTGTTTCCAGGATAAGAACTCAGCACCCAAATACCACCCTTGCTGTCTCTAAACAAGTGCAGTTCTGTGAGGTCAGGACTGATCCACAGCCACAGAGGATCCATCCCACCAGCTGTGTTTTCCTTGGCACTTGGCAAGCCTGGGGAAGACTCAGGAGCTTGGATTCCCTTCCTGCAGTCATCTGCAGTGCTACCAGGGCTCAAGGGATCCCTCACCAGGATTCAGTAGCCCTTCTCAGGGTCTGTCTTTGATCAGGATCATTAATGGGGTCACTTTTGATCAGGGAACACCTCTGGTCTGAGGTGCTGTGGCCTTTACTGGGGTGGATCTTGGGCTGGGCTGCTGGTACCCAGGCAGAGTCATTGTGGCATTGCCTGGCCCATGTCTGTGCCCCTTTTTTAGCCAGTTAGAAAGCAAGGACATGGTCAAACTGAGCATCCTCAGCAGAAGCCTCACTTAGGGCTCCTGAATTTGATAGGAACCTTCTAGAGCTTCTCCTGGGACTGGGGAGGTTGGAACAAACTGTAGGGAGAAGGGGAAGCCTCTGTGTGTGTGTGTGTGTGTGTGTGCACATGCTGCAGTGTGTCACACTGCTCCTCAAATCCTGCTGTGCTTCCAGAGTCTGGGAGTCGTTGGTTTTACCTCTGCTCCTTATTGGTGTCATCTGTGGCAATGTCCCCCTTCTCAGTGGCAAATTTAATGGGGTCAGAATCTGTATCCAAAGACCTATATTCCTCTTGAAAAAAAAAACAAAACAATGAGCAGGTGATTTTCCCATGTCAATCCATCCCTGGGGACTCTTTCTCCTGCTAAAAAACTGGTGACTTTTTCTCCAGCAAAGATTTGGATTGCTCAGAGCCTGTTCCATCTGCTGATTTCAGTGTAAGACTTCATTAATCAATGAAGCCAAGCCAGGCCCCCCTCACACCAGTTGGCTCCAATTTGTTTATCCCATTAGTATGTATCAAAAATATGTTTTAAAAAAAGAAATTCAGGAATTACCTGTGTCTCAGGAAATTTCCAAAGGCAGCTCTTTAACACTGACCTGAAATCTTTCTTGTCAAGTGGTAAAAAATTGCTGACTTCTGGAAGATCATTAATTCTTTGATTAACTCACCCAAAACTTCCAGCTTGGTGCTATTCTGTGGTTTGTTTCTCCCCTGGAAATAGGTCTCGAGTTGATATTCTCCTGAGTCATTAAGTTGGAGCTTTCTCAGCTGCACTCTAATCATTTTCCATGAGAACTCATTCATCATTCCAGTCCCTCCTGCTTTAAGGAGACTTTGATCAGAGTTACCTTGAATTTGGGACACCGTTTTGCACCAAATACAGCATTGGAGTTTCCTGGTGTTGTCTTGCACAGAAAGGGAGTGATGAGGGAGAGGAGTTCCCTTTTCTTTTGCAAACAGGCTCACGAATTCTGAAGAACCTCGAGTGGTGATTCATCAGAGGGAGAGGACAGGAAAAAACAACCCCCCTGGAGTGTCCGTGTCCCCCAGCACAGGGGCAGAGCCAAGGTCAGCACAGTCCCTGATGTCCCTTCCCACCCAAACCATTCTGTGATTCTATGATATCTTCTGTCCCAAACCCACTTGGTTTTGATTAATACAATCCTACAACATGGCATTCATTGTTTTTGATGGTAACCAGTAAATTATTGATTCTTTTTTTTTCCTTTGAGACATTTTATTTAATATAGCAAAAATAATTTCCTGGACACTTCTGCCACTTGATACACACAGATACCTGTCGTGGTTCTATGTTGAACTATGTAATAGAGTTTTACCCTGTCCTGGATAACCTCTGGTGAGATCTTTGTGTCCCAATACAACATCTTTAGCTGTGAAACAAAAATGGGAATGACACATCATTCTTGATTCATTTTGGCTGTCTCCCACCCGGCACACTGTTGACCTCAGAGCTCACCCTCAGGTGAAACCACCGTCTGTATTCCCTGCAGAAGAATATTCTGCAGATATCCACAGCTGAGGGCCAGATTCCCTCTTGGAAGTTCTGCCCCGATCACTGGAAACCAGCGATGTCCCGAGTCCATCAGTCCCCTGAGCAGTGCAGTGTGTGGAAAAGGTTAATCCTTTCTTTCACAGGGAAGCTCAAGGCTAAGACTGGACAGGACATTTCTGACAGCCCCTTGCACCACTATCTCTTCTCCCATAACTTCTTGTTGGCTCTGGAGGACTCTCCCTCTGTGCACAGACACTCTTATATGGCTTCTCTGAGCCTTACCTGGTAGTGCCAGCAAGAGCAGCAGGGCTGGAAAACCTTCCATCCTGGAGCAGAGAGTGTTTTAGGGCACCAAGGGAAAAAACATCTCCTGGAGCTTCTTTATCCCCACACAGTTCCTGCTGCAGAGGAGCAAACTCACTCTGTCACTCAGAGGCTACTGCCCCGAGTGGTGATGCCAGTTTGGAATTGCTGAGGGTATCTTTTAACCACAATCTCTGAGCTATTTCTTGGGAGGGAAGGCTGCGTGGTGCTCACTGGCTGCCTTTCCCCTTTCAATACCCTGTGATAGCCATATTTAGCAACCAGGCCGTGGGGCTGGACAAGAAATGGGCATCCTTGGTCTCTGGTGCTGCTCTGACACATCCCAGAGCAGCCTTCAGCTGGGAATGTTCGTCCGTCTGCTGCTTTGCACTTACATGGAATCATGGAATGGTTTGGGTTGAAGGGACCTTAAAGCTCATCTCAACCCACTCCCTGTGTCACCTTTTACTATCCCAGGTTGCTCCAGGCCCTGTCCAACCTGGCCTTGGACACTTCCAGGGATGGGGCAGCCACAGCCCCTCTGGGTAATGAGGGGTTGGGCTTTGAGCTCTGCTCCTGTGTGGCACTGAGTGGCTGGATGTGCCAGCCTGTCCCACTGGCTCTGAGCATTGTAAACACTCCAGCATGTTCCAGGTGTCACTTCTTCTTTGGGGGATGACTGTGACCTGGTGTCCTGCAGCCCACTACCATGAATCCATCCTAAGTCAGAGAATCAGTTTTATTTTATTTAGTATTGCAGGGAAAAGAAGTGTGAATGCCCCTGGGTTTGGGGTCTGCCTGGGAGGCCCAAAGGCAGCTTCACTGTGGGGAGGGATGAACAACCACCACATGTTGGTAACATCCCCTTGAGTGGGGAGAAAAAATACAGGGAGAACTACAGAGAGACAGTTCATTTGCTCACCAAGTCCTTTCAGAAATGAGGAAGCAGGAGACCACATCCCTTTCTGGGCTGTCCTGCAGTTCCTTATGCCTTTCCACAGGGACTCCAAGGATCCACACTGTCCAAAGCAACTTTTGGGAATTAGTCTTCCTCACCTTGTAAAGACAGAATCTGTCACCTGGCACTGCCCTGAGATGACAGGATGTTGATGGGTCTCAGTTCAGACTGTGGTGGAATGATATTGGGGATGGTATCTGGAATAACTCTGCCTGGGGGTGTGATGCCAATGAGAAGAGGTGGTAGACGGTGACATTCCCTCTCCAAAGTGACAGGTTCATCCACACCTGTGTTTAGTAGTGATCCTTTTCTTAGAGCAGGTGGCAAAGCTTTGCCTGCAAATGCCTGATGTTCCTTTTCCATGGACTCCCTTTGGCTCAGCTCATGCATTGCTCTCCCGGGAGGGGCCAGTTCCGTTGTGTCCGAGGTCAGCAGTGAAAGGGAGGACCTGCTGCTCACTCAGGCTTGGGTTCTGCTCTCTTTCTCTGTTCTTCCTGCTGATGCCAACAATACAGATCAGTACAGCCACCATGAACTTGGTAACCAGGAGCCCAGCAAGGATGTAGAAAACAGTGAAATCCACTTTGGGAGGGGAACTGTGGGGAACCAGAAATACAACCATGAGGGAGATGGTTCAAACCTTTAAAAAACTCTTGAGGTACTGCCTTAGTCCTAGGAAGACTAGAAATCCCAGCACAAGTTTTAGGCTCACCTGGAGATGCTCTGCACAGCTCTGGGCTCCTCTGGCACTTGGGTCTCCAGGACAGCTGCTGATAGAAACAGAACAGTTTAGTCTGCAGGTGCCTCTGGGTGATGTTCATTGGTGTCACCAGTGCCCCAGCTGGGCAAGTAGCCAAGGTGAGGTGGGGCATGGGGCTGTGTGCCAGGAGATCAGTCTGGGCAGCAAGAAGGGGATGGCATGTTGGATGTCCAGCACCAGTGAAGTGACAGTGCTGTACCTCAGGAATAAAGAGAGGCGATGAAGCACAGAGTGAGACAACAGTAGATGTTTACTGAGGTGACGCCTTGGCATCTGCAGCACCCCTGAAATTCGAGTAGGAACTCGTGAAACTCAAACCCCAGGACGTACCTCTCAGCACTTCCACTTGCACCTTCCTCAGGCTCTTTGTGTCCCCCAGGAAATCAGTTCTGCACTGGTACAGCCCAGCATCCTCCTTCCTGAGCTGCCTCATGGTGACCGTCAGGACCCCGTCGTGGATGTTGTCCCTGATGGAGGTGGTGCTTTTCCTGCCCCTCAGGAAGGGCAGCCAGAAGGATCGGGCACTCACCACGTGCTGGCACTTGGTCTCATCGACCTGCCTGCACCAGCTCTTCTCTCTCCACCACTGCTGCTGGGGGTCGTAGGAGCAGTTGACAGAAATGGTGCCCCCCTCCATCCCATACACCACGGTGACGTTCTCTGCAGCACAGGATGCTGGGAGGGAGGGGAGAGGGGTGAGCCCAGTCTCTCTCATGTCTATCCCTCACTACTGTGGTGATGCTGGACATCATTTTCACCCTTTACTGCTCTAGTGATGGCAGCTGTCACCTGCAGTGCTGCTACCTGGAAGGCTGTCACCTGTAGGGCTGTCACCTGTCTGCTTCCCCCATCAACGATCAGTGTGCTTGGAGTCTTGGCTCAGGTGTTGTGAAAAATGTCTGTGGTGACCCTGTGCCTGGTGGGTGATTTGGCTCTTGCCAGGCAGCAGTTCTTGGGGTGGCACTGAGGGCAGGAGGTATCAGCTTCCTTAATATTTGCAGATTTTCTGAAGCTTGGGTAAACTTTGGTCCTTGCCTTCCCTCCTGGCCCTGTGGTGGCTGCTCTGGAGTCAGTCTGGAGCTCAACCACATCCACCTCTGTCATCCCTGTGCTCCTGCCCAGTTTGTCTTCAGGATTTGGGCATTAAATATAAACTTGCCCTGTGCTCTGATCCTGAGGAGCATGGAGCTGGGCATCCAGGTAGGTTGAGCTGGCACCAGACAAGCTGCCCTGATTTTTAAAAGCTCTTTTACAGTATTTGGCTGTGGAATACCCTCTGCTGCAGAAAAGGCCCTTTGCAGTAAATGCCCATGAACTTTATCCCCGTTTTGAAGCTCTTTACACAGGCAGAGCAAAGCCACACTGCCCTGGAAAATGCTGGAATCACACTGACACCTACAAACCACTGTCCTGCTTGCTGGCTAGGAGGTTGCTTCTGAATCCCACTCCCACTTCTAAATCCAGGCATTTAGCAGTTTTTTTCCACTCTATCTTTTAATATCTTACAAATTTTAACCATGTTGACAACTGGTCTTTGGCTGCTTGGCTTTTTTTAATTGTCTTGGTTCCTTCTTTCTAATTTCCATTCCTCTTTGTGACAGGAAATGGCAGAGGGGACAGTCTGAGCTATTAATACTTCCAGAGAGAAGTACAGTGTGGTATTTGTGGAAATCTCTATTTCTAGTAAAAAAATTCAGAGGCAAATGTTTCTGTTAAACCATAAGTAACGATAAAACAGAAGTAAATTTAAAAATAGGCTCTTGTGAGGACTTTGTGCTGGCTGAGGCTTTTAATAACACTGCTTAAAATAATTTCAACAATTCTAAGTGAATTATAAACTAAAAGATCTGAAGTTCTTTCAGCTTGACTAGAACAAGACATAAAATAGATCTGTGCTCCACAAGTATCCAACACCTCCGAGTCTTTATCCCAGTACACTGCTGCACTCAGTTCTTCCACTCAGGACTTACCTCAGGCTGTGTCCTGTCCTGTCCTGTGCAATCCTTCCAGAACACTTTGCCTGCCTCTCCTGTTTCTCCTGAGGACCCCTCCTTCCTCCAGCTCTGCCCCATCAGTCCCTACAATTCCCACAGCACAGCAAAACACCTCTCAGTTGGAATAATTTCCTGATTTCTCTGTGGAAAATGTTGTGTCATTCTCTTTTCAACCAATTCTGCTGACAGATCAGAAACTATCTGTGTTCCTCCTCCCTTCCTGGGTTCTACTGGAAAAAGTATAGTGAACATTTTCCAAACTCATTCAGATTTTTGGGACAGGTTTCTGTGCTCCCACAGCCTGGGTTTGTTGCTATTCCCTGCAGTGCTGCAGGGAGCTGGGATCTCCAAAGTGGCTGGGGAGAGAAGGCAGAGAGCTGGGAGCCCCACCTGGGTCCTGTGCCTTGGTTCTCACTTCCAAGGGCTGTGCCTCTCCCAGCTGCAAAGAGCCAAGTGCCCAAGAGT